AGATTATATCTTAACAATTGGAGCAGTTATCGTTAAATTGATTTAAATTTGATCCGCATTGGATATACGAGAACTTATAGTCTAAATTTCCCTAGTCTCTGAGATGGGCTTCTTCAAACAGACGAAAATGGCTAATTCTACACGAATTTTAATGCTGATCAAGAATATATATACTTTTTGTTTTCAAATTTAAAGACAAAGCGTATTTTTGTACAACCAAAACAACTCAAAAGTCCGTAATATTATATATATATATTTTAAATTGGTTAATAATTTAGATCCGCTTGTGATTGAGTTTCCTGATGCATTTTTTTTTTTAGCTGAGTGCATCCGCCGTAAAAGCTATTTATGAGCCACGAATTATTTGGTTGCCCCTTGAAAACCAAATAAAAAAACCAACAAATTGAAACGAAAAGAGAAACACATAAATTTTCAAGTTCTTTAAAGAACTTTAAAAAGTTTCGGCTTTTTTTTATTTGTTGTTGCTGTTGTTGTTGGTTCCGTTTCGGTTGTTTCTGTGAATGGAGCACGTTGCAATCTCTCAAGTATTGATGGGGCTCAAGTTTTGATTGTTTGATTGTTGGTTTGGGGGCAAAACGCATAGCTTAAAGTTCAATGACTGAAAGGTGCGTTGTTATTGTTGTCGTTGTTGTTGCTGTTGCAGTTGCAGTCGTTGCTTGTGGTTGCATAGAAATACAACAACAACTTTATGGTAGAATCGGTTTGCGGCAAACGTGCAAAAATGCAGAAAAACGCAGACGACGACGATCGGATCGACAATCAATCTGCAGATTCCAGTTGCCCGTTCTTTGTGGCACGCAACAAGTTCTCCTCTTAGCCGTTGAACTTCTGGCCTTAACTGACGACAGCAACCAGGATGATGAGCGGACAATGACGACGACTTTTTACTCAACACTTTTCAGCTACACTTGCTGCCCATCTTAAGCAAACAGCACAAAATGCACAGCATGAGAGGTGAGGAGGGTTGCGAGAACTCGACTCAAAGCTACCCTTGAACTCAGCTAAACAATAAAAAATGGGGCAGCTATCGTTCAAAATAAATGAATTATATTACTAAAAGGTATCCAAAACTAGATATATAGTGATGCTTGCAGAATATATCTTAAAAAAGAAAAATTCAATATCTGATAATATAAACTAAGTAAGAAAAAAGGCTTTTAGATGAAATAACTCAATTTACGATCGATTGTTACTATACATATTTTACCTATATATATATGGTTTCTGAAACAGTGGGTCGGGTAAGTCGAGAAGAATAATGCACAACTTTAAGAGTGCCCAGCACGATTAACGGATTTCTATCCTAAAAAAAAAGAGTACTGAAAAGTAGCGTCTTAAAAAATGTTATGCAAAGATTCCTTTAAAAAATAAAACAACTGATATATTAATTATTTATTAAACTTTATTAGTTAGTTGTTGCATAGATGTTCAATATTGCCAACTGGCAAAGTGTTGCATACTCGATGACATACCAAATAATACTCGATGGCAAGTGTATATAAAAATAAGAAGAACAACAAGACAAAGAATCTTATCTACCACAAAGAGTAAATATACACATACCAACACATACACACACACATCGCACATACTAGTAGAAGACCGGGTTCCCAAGACTCTCAACTCGTCTTGCAGCTTATGCAACTTATGGCTCGGCTGAGCTGTCGAAGTTGCCACAAGACTCGCAGCAACTCGCGACTCACTTGTTGTTGTTTACAGTATGCATCTATATACATCCATACATACACACACACACACAGACATATATCTATGCAAGTATTTATCTCTATGTGTATCTTGTATCTGTAGCCAGTATCTGTATTTGTATCTGTATCTGTAGCCGTATTTGGTCGTCATTGCTTGGTTTACTTTTTCAAGTGAGAACAAAATTGTTGTTTGGGAAAAATAAACAAACACAAAAAAAAAAAAGAAATGTGTAGAAAAGGCAAAAGAATTCCAACCAGAAAACAACCAAAGCGCACCGCCCAGCCCCGCCCCATTAGCCCCCGCGGGTTGCAACAATCAAATGCTCATCAGCGCACTTGAAATACAATAATGCGTCGAATGTTTAAAACAAAAAAAAAGCGTAGAAGAAGAAGCAGAGAAAACTAACAACACGCATTGTATCTGAATCTGTATCTTTTACTTTTTTTTTGGGTGTGTATCTCATTTTTGTTGGTTAGTTGAAATTATTTGGCTGTGGCACGCAGCGTTTTCAGCGTTTCCAGCGCGTTAAGGTTTATTTTCGTTGGTGTTCGCTCGTTTGTTTAGTTTTGTGGCGGCGCACACACATGCACAGCAGCGACATGTTGCAGGTGGGAACAGGTTTGCGTTGCTGCTGCTGCTGCTCAGATGCGGGCCATATCTTTTTATTTCATTTTTTTGGTCAGCCTGTGCTACGTAATAAATACCCACTGCTGTGCGGCTGCAATTACTTTTTCGGCACAGACGCGAGACAGACAAAAATAATGATTATAAAAGACGACTAAAAAAAAGAAAAGCTCCCAATATATTTTGTTAACATTTGTCTGTTTACTACGCGGTTAATGTTATGTTACTCGTAATGCGACAGACTCAAAAGTTAGCAGTGTTCATTTGAAACAGGAAGATGATCATTAGCTGTTAATTATTAACATTTCTCTGTTATGCTTTAAAGTGTATGTTTTGATCAACCTCTTCTTCAATCAAAGCGTGCTTTTGCAAGCTTGCATTGACTTATGCAATTTAAAGCTCATCCAATCTTTCAAATCCTTCTAGCTTATGTATGCTTATTAACATTTGTCAACTATGATAATGACTATTAACATTTGTCTCTTATTTTAACAAAGGTGCTGCCAACATACTAAACACATGTTAATGTGACACAAAATTCCAGCAATGTCCTTCTCTCTCTCTCTCTCTGTCTCAGTCTCTCTTGATTGATGTGGCATCTGCACTTGAATGGAACATTTGGAAATGAAATTTCCTGGCCATTGGAACACGTAGCAAATTAGTTTAACACACATCTAACATGTGTGCTTGTGTGTATGTGTGTTTTTTCACATATCAATTGTGGCAAGTTCCCAGTAAATGGCCATACTTTTGGCCAAAGGGGCCAGCGGTCAATTTCAAAGTGCCGCCAAGTCGCCTGCTGCGATGCAAGCAACTTAAAATGTAAGCAGCAGCAACAACTGTAAACGGCAACAGTAGCTGCAATCGTTACTCATAGTCAAGTCACGTACACATTCACATACACACACACACACATTCACACGAGCAATATGGCCGATTGATAGAAGTCGAAAAAAGGAGAGAACAAGAAGAAAATGGGCAGCCAACGGTAACAGTTGCGTGCTCCCCTCTCTCTCTCTCTCTCTCTGCTCGCAAAAAAGAACATCACCCCCTTTGCCCGGCTCTCTTTCCATGCATCGCTGCACACACACACACATGCACGCAGCAGCATACCCTTCCAGTTAGTTAACATTTGCCCACAAATGGCAAAATGTCGCGCTGTAATCGCTTTTCTAATATGGGCACATTAATGAGCAACAGCAATCGAACAGAGAAGGGGGAACGGGGGGTGACAGGTGCTGTTAGCATACATTGGACTGACTGCATTGCCAATTGCAAAATGTGTATGTATATATACATAATATATATATATATATATATATGTGTGTGTGTGTGAGTAATTACGTTCTTCGCTTGTTTTCTTCATACCTGAGCAATTAGCGCGCCTTTACTGCTGCTGTGTGTGTGTTTATGCAAGAGCAGCTGCCACTTCTCTCCACTATTCTTCCCCCCGTTGTTCAGCAGCTGTCAGCTGTCAAATGTAAGTGGCAAGAGTGAAGATGGAATCGATCGCATTCGATCAGGCTGGCAACACTTCACTTTCCACAGAATAAGCAAAATTAAGCTAAGGCAAAAAAGCTGAAAAAAAGCTGCATTCAATTTCCAGCGAATAACTGAATTCTGAAAAACGCCAGCGAAAAGCGAAACATAAAAACTGCGATTTTGCATGTTGGTGCCACTTGTTGCCACAAATATTCATAAATGTTTGCAACAACAATTTAACACAAGGTCGTGAAAAACAAAGCCTCCAAAGTGAACTTTTAACTCCGCTTATCATCTGTGGTTTAATTACAGTAAAAGCGACTAATTCAGTGAACTGAAAAAAAAGAATATGAAAACAAGAAGTGGAAGAAGAAGACAAGAGTAAACAAGGTGTTAATTTCAGCGCTCTGCTTTTGCTGCGTCGCCAATTGAATTTAATAAACGAAAAGCAAAGAAGAAAAACTCACAAAGCAGATAAGATTCCAGCAAATACACACACATACATACACAAACAAAAGCTCAGCCGACACACATACAAAACAGCAGCACAAGGAGCGGGGGAGTAAGAGAGGGAGAGAGATGGCAGTAGTTGATAAGCTGAAAAACGCACTTGACTTTTGCCGGCGACTTGCGATGAATGGCAATTGACCAAATACGCATGCATGCATATGTGTGTGTGCAAAGTAGTGTTGCTAACTGTTGGAAAGATGATGCTAGCTAAAAGCTAAACTAGAAAAAAAGCCACAAATAATTTAATCTTTATTTAGAGTTAAGTACTTTTATTTATAATTGTTACATTTGAAAACATGGCAAAACTCTTTTAGCTGTAATTAACACAAATAAAATTACTACAATATTGTTTAATTGCACTGGCAACACTGCTGTGCAGTAAGTAAATACAATAGAATTTATGCATTAGATTAGCAATGTGCAGAATGTAAATATAATGGAAATTACGCATTCCAATTGCAATGTGCAGAATGTAAATATGCATATGCAAATATTTAGTGGAATTCATTCCATTGGAAGTATAAATTGGGAATGTAAATCCAAATATTATACAATGGAAATTTTAAATTCCATTATGTAAAGTTTGCATATCCCACTTTATGTTTATTTATTTTTTTTGCATTTATTTAAATATTCAACTTGTTGGATTTACTTACGAACTGTGACCATTTTCGGATCGTAGGCACAAACGCGTCGCTCCACGGCTGTAATTTTGCGCTGCACCCTTGCAGCCCGCTCACCCACCTGCTGCAGATCGTGTTGCAGCTCATCGAAAATATCGCTGGCGATTAGCACCAAACTGGCCAATTGGCGGAGGGCATTGCTCAATGTTATATTGCTGATCGAATCGAATTCGTGGCCAGAAACGACACGTGATTGGCTACCCGCTGCTGCTGCTGCCGTTGGGGAGTGGGGGGCGCTGTAGGTGCGAGCGGGATGCGCTGTTGCTGCTGCTGCCGCTGCTGACCCTCGCTGCTGACTGCTCTGCCGGGACGCGGGCAGCGACTGCGAGACACGTGTGGAGAGATGCGAGGGGGAAGTGGATAGAAATTCTACATGCTGTTTGAGCTTTTTCATCGGCAGCGCTGCCGGCGGCTGTGGTTCGTCAGCTGCTGCTGCTGCTGCCGCTGCTGCTGCTTCTTCATCTTCTGCTCCTCGATGATGATTTGTTGATTGATTTTGATTGTTGATGCAATTGTTGTTGGTGCATTTGCCGGGTGCACATTGGAAGCGCTTGGCGGCATGCCCCAAACTGGCAGCGGTCGCCTGTGCCACATTCACCGGCTGCACAATCCGCTGTACAAAAGGCATAATAATAATAATCGCTAACTGCTGCTGCCGCTGCTGCTGCTGCTGCTCCTCATTGGGTAAAACTCGTTTAACAATTAGCCAAAAGAGCCACAACAAAAACAAAAAATGAAAATAAAAACTGGTCAAGCAACTTCTGAATTTTTATTGCTGCTCCTTTTGGCTTCAACTATTGTCTGTTTTTTTTTTCCCTCTTTTTTCAGCTTGTAAATTCCTTCACACACACACACACAACACACGCACAAAATTGAATGTAAACCAAACACCGGCTTTTTTCTATGCACTTTTATTATTTACAACAACATATAATGAAGAATGTTATTGCTGTTCACGATTTTTTTTTTCTTGATTGCCGTTACGCGTGTTTGCCCGCCCATTCAAAAAGTTGCCGCTCAAGAACAACAACAACACACACACACATCCATCATCCGCGCTCACGTCATGCTAGCTTGCCGGCCGCGTTAAAACTGCTAACAGACGCCGTTGCTGTTAACAACTCAAACAAGCTGTTAGTACTCACTCAAATGGCGCGGTTAACAATCGATTGCGCAGTATAATCGATGATTCAAGTCATGCGCACTTATCAACACTACAAAAATACTAGATGACCTTTTCTGAATTTTTGTTTGGGCATTTTCATGTTAGTCAACGGCGGGCATACTCTCATTATTATTTGCCAGTGCATTTTTCATTTTTTTTGTGCAGCGAACAAAGTTAATGTTTGTTTAAATAATAAATAGAAATAAGATGCCGAAATATTACTGCGACTACTGTGACACATACTTGACGCACGATTCGCCATCGGTGCGGAAGACGCACTGCACGGGTCGCAAGCATCGCGACAACGTCAAATTCTACTACCAAAAATGGATGGAAGAACAAGCGCAGCATTTAATCGACGCAACAACAGCCGCCTTCAAAGCCGGTAAAATAACAAATAATCCATTTGCGGGTCCATCGCCCGGTGGCAAACCGAGTGGCGTCAATATTCCGCCCCCCAATATGGGAGCACCACCCCGCTCTGGCATGCCGAACATGCCGCCATATATGCCACCAATGATGAATCCGCTAATGGCTCCCACTGGAATACGTCCGCCGCCCATTTTAAATCCCATGGCTATGATGGGTCCTCCGCCGCCACTGGGTACACTTCCCCCCCAAATGATGAATGGACCCAAATAACAGCAGCAATTAGTCGAATTAAGTCAAATGTACAATTAAGACATGTAGAAATACACTAGAAATTCATAAAAAGAAAAAGTGCTATTTTTTGGTATTTTTGTAGGTTATTTGTTTTGGCCACATTCAATAAATTCAAATATATTGCAAGATATGCCATATTTTCAATTATTTCTATGTTTCCTATTGCAATTCACTAATCACAATTCATTTAAATAATCGTAATTCTTAACAACAAATTCAAAATAAAACGTTCATTAGAATTGCCTAAAAAATGTGCCACTTTTCTACTCAATCTGAGTTTGGCATATATAGCTGCACTCTTCGCACGCAAACAAACACCACACATTGCCATGAAAGCCGTCAGCTGTTTGCATTGCAGGCTTTCCAGTTCAACCCCAAACAACAACAAAAAGCTTGTTCAACTTGTTCGCATTCGCATTTCCAGCGTCTTTGCCGCGTCACGAACAGAAAACAAGGCAACGCTGGTGGAGGTGGGAAGGGACGCAGCATTGGATGAGCTCATACGAAAGCGTCGAAACAAGTTTAGCTTTTTGAAAATGCGATACGAATACGAATACGACCAGTTATGTTTGTATGTGTGTGTGACTGTGTCGATGTGTTGTTGTTGTGCCAGTCTCAGCTTCAGTTGTACGTGAAACGTGAACGACGCCGGAGCGCCCACGCGGAAGAAAAGACATTCGAAATAAAAAAGCGATACGAAAACAATGTGTGACAAGCACTCGCATTAAAAATATATACATATATATAGATATATGTGTGAGTGCGTGTGTGTGTGTATGAATAAGAATAATAAGTGGTTATTCTTGCAGAAGTCGTTTGCTAATTGGACCTTTTGAGTCTTACGTGGCTTTAATTAATTTATTAATTTACTAACTAAGGAGCTGGCTCTCTCTTCGAATCAATAATAACACACAAAAAAACTTCAGTTTCAAAATTGGCAAAATAACAAAATACACACAAATAGATTGTATGTGCGAAAAATAAAAAAGAAGAAAATTGGAGAACCTTAAACAAAATCAATAATTGGCAACGTTTCTGTGTGTGAGTGTCTCTCTCTCTCTCTCTGTGTTGTGTGTGTGTTTGTGTCACGCTGGACAATTGGAGCAAATGCGAATAAGAAACAAAGACGAAGAAGAAGCACGCGAATATTAACTGCTACAAAACATGCAGCAACAACAACAAATGCCAAACAGCGGTAGTCATACGCCCGTTCTGACGCCGTCCGCTGCCAGCGTCGGCAGCAGCAGCTGCAGCACACCCATACGCATTGGTAGCGAACGAAAGCTCGCCGGCAGCGGCGGCGGCGGAGATTCACTGTTGCCGCCACCGTCAAACACCATTTCCGTTTCCTCTTGTTCGCACTCGATGCCAGGCACGCCGCAGTCAAGCAGCGTCCCAACAGCGACGGGCAGCACGCTGCAGCTGCAGGCGACGACGTCATCGTCCGCTGCTCTGACTATGGCCGCCTCGAATCAGTCGCTTGGCGTCGGCGCCAGCAGCAGCATTAGCGGCATCAATATTACGCCGCCAAACAGCGCCGGACTGCGACAGCAGCCGTCAGGTGAGTCAAACTGGATTTCGATTATTGCCCAAATTTGCTTTTCAATGTCATTGTTTTGTTTATTTCTTTTTTTATTGTTGTATTTTCTACTCTCTACCGCAAAAAAAAAGAAGAGCAGCTCACAATTTCTCTGTGCTCGCTCTTATTTATCGCTTCGTGATTATTCATTTCCTTTCCGATCCACAACCCAAATACATGCTGACATTTGTATATATGTATGTATGTATATATATGTGTGTTATTTGCGTACATGTTAATCTGTGTTTTGTTCCGATTGTATCATTCATAAAATGTTAATGGGGCATATTTAGAATTGTGAAAGTCAAGAACAATTGACCGAGTACAAAAAAAAAAAACAAATGTATATAAAAAATAGAAAATATAAATATAAAAATAATATTAAATATAAATAGATTTATATATAGAACTATTATAAATATTAATTTTTCAATTTAATTTTTGGTTATACACCAACGTAGTTCCTCAGTTGTCATTAGCCAATTTAATTTATTTAATTATAGTGCACATAGCACCATTTTTGTCTCCAAATTCAAAACAAATGTAAACTACTGGACACAGGGTATTAGCTTGCGAATATCGCACACTTTGCCTGTTCTGTTTTGATTTCGTTGCTTCTTCTCGCATTTCAATGACAGGCCGCGACTATCATCGCATCGCATCTAACACATTGTCTGTTGCTTTGTTCCGTATTTCCGCTCTGTCACTCATCTATCCGGTGTGGATCGTTGACGGAGAGGGGGGACTCATCGCTTGTGTGTGTGTGGGGCGCTAATTGTTGATTGAGTTCAGCGCCTTCCTACGCTTTGCGGTGACCATCACACTACTAAGCATCAACCGCAAAACTTGAATCGAATGCAAGGCGCCGTTAGACCACTTTTTGTCCTATTTCCATTTCGCTCTTTCCATTATAACTAATGCATGAGTATGAGTATCTGTAAGTGTGTCGCCATAGTTTCTTATTGATTAGCATATGTGCATATGTATGTATGTTTATATGTGAGTATTTATGTATTTAGACCTCTTGCCATTTCTCACTTCTCTCGAAATTCGTCGTCGTAGTTCATTGGAAGCAATAAATGTCAAAAGAAAATTTGCGCATTGTCGACGCATATAAATGCAGAGCTTTTATTTGAATTGATTTATTACAAGATAAGTGGGAAGGTATGCCAATTATATGCAGAGACTTACAAAGAGCTTACATCATTATTATTTTTGTACTATATTTAATGAGCAGTTTTTTGTGTAACGAGCTTTAAGCATATATTTAAAATTCGATAGATCATTTGCATAGATTGAAAATATTCTGATGTATGCAAAGACTGTAGACAAATCGAAGAAGTCTAGTTAAGTTGAATTGACCTTAATTCGCCAATTAAGAATACACACTAAACAAAAATAGAAGAAATTTAAATAAATACCAAAATACTTAATTGTTTGCATATTCCCCAGTTGAAGTTCCCCAGTATTATAATGATTTATTTTTTTGCACAACTGCCACAAGGGTATTTTTAAGTTTCGCTTTAGCTTTTGTTGCTTGCAATTGTTCGTTGAGTGCTTTATTGTATTTAATTGTCATCAAATTTGTAGCAGACGTTTTTTTTATTTTTATTTTTTATTGTTAGTTACTTATACTTGTGCAAATATAATGGGCATTGTGCACACACACGCACACACACACACACACATACATACACACAGTCGCAATTAGCTGACACGCGCAAAGCTTTTTGGCACTTTTCATTGGCCTCCAGCGTCAACACAGGCGGGGTGAAGGGTGGGGGTTAGGGGTGATGGCGGGTGAAGAGGGTGCCAAGGGCCGTGAACGTTGAGAAGTGCAGCAGTTGGCACAGTTTAAGTTTAAGCGGGCAAAAGAAAACGAGCGCAAAAAAATACAAAAAGGAAAATAAAAATAAAAATCGATGCGTGGCTGGTTTCGTTTTGTGATGTGTCCATTTTCTTGGCGTTTATTTCACTCTACATGCATATACATTTCTGATGGGTGGGGAGGGGGCTATGCAGAGAGAGAAAAAATCAAGTATGATATAATAATATATCGTATTTTCATAACCTGAACACAAGATTTAAGCAGCGCTAATTTAAATTAAGTAATGAATAAAAACAGCTTTACAACTTCCCGTATAAAAAGGCAAAAAAATAAGCTTATATATTTTAAGTAACTCACTTTCAGTTAGTCGAATTAATTACTCGCTTTAAGACTGTCCATAATTTTTCTAAGATGCCATGTACGCATTTCAGTTGCGTATACGCAATTAGGTACAGCAGTTTTCTTTCTGTGTTTGACTGGACGGTTCTATCATGCGGCATGCGGCATGCGGCATGCTGTATATTCTATTTTTGATTCGTGCCCAAAAGGTCACAAGTTAGTGGTGCACTATGAACTTTGGCTTTAGCTTTAGACACCCAACAACATCTAACCTCCCCAGAACCCTCTCATCCCATCCCATCTAGACTTAATCCGCTGATGGAATTCATTTGAACATTTGCATAACGAACGTTTTTTGATCGGCAGCCCTATCAGGCAATTGCATAATTTAGTCATATATATATGTATATATATATATAGAGAGAGAGATGCCGCTGTGTGTGTGTTCTCTGGGCTCGTTGAATATTTTATAGCATGCTTTTGGGCAACTTACCGAGCAATAAATTAGAGAGCCATGCGAGCAACTCTTGATGCACATATGCATATTGATTGCCAGCTTCACCTGACGGCAAACGTTCGCATATCTAATGAGTTGACTAGCCAACCATCTACTTTCCCCTTCTACTACCCCCGTCCCCACCATGTGAAACCACCCCCATCACTCCTACCAATTGTTGCTGCTCCACTTTTAACATGCGGCATTTCACATTGACCAGCAAACTAAATAAACATTATATGTAATTGGATTACATAAGACCTTATGTGTGTATGTGTGTGTGTGTGTGTGTGTGTGTGTATGTATATATGTAAAGAGTGTGTAGGGTGGGTGGTATCATATGTATTGGCTTATGGCATCATGACGTCACTTGTGCACCACGATTACAAGTTGAAGTTGAAGACAGACGACAGTGATAGACGAGGAAATATCCTGTATCCAATAAATATATATGTATATGCGTATTTTTGCTTGTATTGATTTATGTATGTATGTAAATACAAATTGATACGCTGCTTCTTATGCTTGATTCAGACATCTAGCGAAATGTATATGATTCTTACCAAAAATGTATAAGGCTACGTTTATCATCTTGATTGATTCGAGTTGGCCAAGAGAATAGAAATCGAAGCAATAAAAAAAGCGATGTGGAAAGCGTCGTAGTGACATGCAAAGTAAAAGTGCAGCTGATGCATTTCCATACTAAGTGCAATGAATTTAAGTGAATGATTAATTGAATTATGATAGATTTCGTTGTGAATATTCCATTCCACTCAAATAACAATAAATAGAATTGTGGAACGAAATTGCTGTGAAACAAGTTAAACTGTATTTACGTATACCTAATTGAGTTCGTTAGGTATACTTCGCCAGTTGCTCACATTTTTAATGGGTATTAGAAATAGTCCCGCTGGTATAAAGTATCCAAGCGCATTACAATGTTGATGTCATTCTTCAATTAACACCCAAATGAGCGACCCTTGATCCAATTTCCAATATTATCGCCATCGAAATGTGCTCATCAAAGTCAATGGACTTTGGGCAAATTATCCCGCGTTCAGCTTTGAACTTTTCAGTGGACATCGGGCTTTGGCTCTGCTTGGCAATTGCGTAATTGATGCAGCATGTTTAAAAACCAATCAAAGCGACATCTTTACTATCTATCTGTCACCTTATTGCCTCCTTGCCTGGTTCAAGATTGAGATTAAGTTGGCGCCCTTGTCAAAGCTTGTTTATTATGCACTTCGTGTCGTGCTCTGCTCTATTCTGTGCTCAATATCCGATGGCAGCTAATTGATAGCAGGCACTTAATTAATTTACAACGCTCTGTTAATCGACACGCTCCACAATGCAAAAAAAAAGAAAGAAAGAAGAACGGATGATGCCCCACAGCTTGTGTCAATTACTGAGATACATTTAGCTGGGCTTGCAAATAAAATTGTTATAGTTAAGTGTTGAAGCAATTTTCGTTCAGTTCGATTAGATAATTAACTTGTATCATAAATGTCTCGATTGCTGATTAGTTGGGGAACTTTTTCGATTATATAATGTCGATAGCACAGTAATCTTACAGTAAGTACTAAATATGTTTCTAGCAATAATAAAATGTGTATTTTCATTTGTTTGTTGTTTTTTTTTACTTGAAACCCACATAAAATTCGTTTCACTTTGAACTTGCTAAACGAATAATAAAATTACTAGTAAATTAATTTTCATAATATTACTAAGAATTGATACGAGAACTAATTATTACCCTTTTTAATCTATAAATAAATATAAAATGAAATTAACAATTTGGAACTAAAAGAGAATGTGAATGTCTTAAGATCAGAAACCAATTTCTTTTTATTTGCTTCAGCGTTTAGCGCTATCTATTGTTAATAAATCTTCTACAATCCCAATTTGCAAAATATCAAATCTTTACTTTTATTCTTAATATTTTTCTTTTCGTTTTCGATTCGTGTAAATGTTGTAAATGTTTGTCTTTTTTGAATACGTGTGTGTGTAGTGAACGTGTACTACTAGAGAACTACAACAATTTTAATAAAATTAAATGATATATGATATAGTTATATATATTGCTCGCTTTCTCTTTCTCTCTCTCTCTTTTAACGTATCTCATTCTATGTATGCATTGTACTGCAGTATTCGATTTCAAATTCAAGCGTCGACCCTCGCAAAAAGTGCTCTTAACCAAACTGCCCTCCACGGACAGTTTGAGCAACAGCCCAGCGCCATCATCGCCAGGTGAAGTTTTTCCAACAAATTTTTGCACAGTTCACTGTAAAAAAAAATTACAAAAAAAAATATAAAATAATAATAATAACGATTTATCACTGAAATTTGCAATGATTAGTTAACAAAGAGTTTTCACCGATCATTCCAACACATCACACAACAGTTCAGTTATCATTCCATTGAACATTTCACTGAAAATTCCACAAATATTTCCACATATATTTGAATCACACACGTCATTTCATTGATGATTCCATTTATATACACTAACATTTCTATTACACTCGTAATATCAAATGATCTTTACTGATCATATCAAAACTTCACTGATCATTTCACAAAAAATTCCACACACTTTACATTTCATTGGCAGTTCCAATGATTATTTCAACAATAATACACCTGTAACTTCAGGTGATTATTTGCAATATCATTTCACTATCATTTTCAGCTATGGTTCCAGCTGATTTTTCGCAAATCATTCCGCTGCCCATTCCTATTGACTATTCATAAATTAATGGGGCACGTTGGCATTCGGTTGGTATTCAGCATTTACGACTTTTCACACTCAATCTCAATTCCAAAGTCCTTAAACGCATTCATTTAGCTTTTGGTTTCTCTCATGATGATCGCAAAGTCCGTTTTGGCTAACAATCGCAATTTGTATGCATTACTCGACTACAAATCCATATACATATATATATACATATACATATATATTTATATATATATATATATACGGTCACACTTAGCCATGACCGTAGTGTAGTCAGCCAAGCGTTGCCATATCTGTGACGCACTTGACAATGCCATTTGTATGATTTTGCTTTCGTTCTCATCCATTGTTGCATTATTATGAAGAGCTTGATTTTTTATTATTTACTTTTTTTTGTGTTGTTATTTTGCTTTATTGTTAATGTACGCGTATTGTATAATCCAGCGACATTATGACTTGGAATTGAAGGTAGCACTCACCACACGCCTCCTCCCTTGGCTGGATAAAAGATGTCTAAAAATCCGTCAACCAAATCTAATCGTCGCCTTTTTATTATTAGTTATATTTTTAGTTGTCGTAGAACTTGAACATTTTCGCACTCTTGATAAGCCGCCCCTTAATGGAAGTGGCTGCGGTCTGACCGCCCGTACCGCCCGTCCCGCCCCCATAACAGAACCTTAACATACAAATTTTTCAGTTTGCGGTTTGATAAAAACGCGCTTCAAATTATTTGTTTTTTTTTTACTGCCCGTGTGAATCATCAGTAGAATCGTCAAGTCGACTGTTTGTTCGACGACCTGTCAGCAGATATCTGATTCTGACTAATAACAACACACAACTGCAGACATTAACATTTTATCTGCAGAAAACGAAAAAAAATACAGATATCATATTGAAATGTTGTCGATATTGTGGCACATCTGGCAGCAGCGGCGAAAACTTTATGCATTTATTTATTATTCCCATTATTTACCTTACCATGTGCCCCATTGGCTAAATTGCGATATGCGAAAGCGTTTAACAGTTCAGAAAGATTGTGTGTCGTAATTAACACGTGCTGCTAACGATAAAAAGTCTCAAATGATTGGGTATAGCTGACTAAAGATCTTTATATTTATTTTTTGATGCAGTTATAGAGATGGTAAAGTTATATACATATAATAATTAATGATATAATGTTGGATAATGTGTAATGTAGCTAAAAGTTTGACTTTTTACACTCTTAATCATTTAAGTATTAATCTCAATTTTTACTTAAAGAAATATTCGATCTTTTAAGTACTTTTGATAATTATATTGACTACATTATATCCCAAATAATATTTTAGTGGAGTAGAAGAGTATTACAAGTATTTTCTTTTAACATATGCATAATGTCTGTAAGAGTATTTGATCTACAGTAATAGAAACTAGCATTATTATATTCCATTCCCATTACACTGTTTGTTCCCCTATTATTTTTCGTTTAGAAGGATCGTGGAATCTGGCACATATATCTTAAATTCTATACTTAATATTGATCTGTCTAAACTTAAATCAATAGTATAAATAATAAAGCTTTTGAATTAGTCATTTGCCTCGGGATCACTTTTCATGTCACACACACACACACGTGTTTAGTTAATAGTTAGGCCCGCTAATAACCTCATCGATAAGGCACCAAGTGTTGGAGAGAGACAGAGGAAGAGAGTACGGTCAGGAGTGTGTGTTGGACAGAGATGGATGACTGAAAAAAAGCTGCGAAGCCGACTGCGGACTGTTATCATATCTGCGGGCCTGTTAAAAACCACAGATATACGAATACACTCGGAGAAAAAATACAGCATTTTAAAGAGACAAATATAGTATTTAACAGGCAGAAGAAAATATGTTCGAACCCATAAAGTATAAAGTATATTTAGTAAATCTCCGTCTGTCTGTTGTAAAAATATAGCGTTTTTGATGTATAAAATACACAGACATATTATTAATAAATTGCAATTAAATGCAATAATTAAAATCATTAAAAAGAATTAAACGAGCCAACTATGTATTTATAGTTGGGTTCAGGGTATCTCCTAGACGAGCTCTCTCGACTAGAACATTCTAATTTTTTTATTTTTGTATATTAAATTAAAAAAAGGATTACAGAAATATCTGTAATGACTACTTGATTGAAGATACTTAAGCACTTAAACTAGTTTTGCACAATTTAAGTACAGAAATTATTATTTTGTATTTGATTTAATAATTAATTTTTGGTCTTATATGAAAATCAATTCTGTTCGGCTTATACTAGAGCATTGTTTTTTCTCTGAGTGTAGGGCATGCATGTTCTTAAATAGCGCTCCTCAAATGTAATATTTTGCATCTGTTTTGTTGCACTTCAAAGAAACGTGCGATTCATTGTGATTCTAAATTTTACAATGTTGCTCAAAAATGGGTTTTGATTTGAATTTAATTTTGTAATATTTTTTTTTTGTTTTTGTTTTTTGGCAAACGAGCAAGAACAAGCGCAACTATGTACATATGTACATATCTAACGGCTCATTATTATTATATGCGGGGCGGGCAGCGACGCTCGCGTCATCGCCGCTGGGCCCAGCAGCAGCGGCAGCTGCTCGCCGTCGTCGTCGTCGCTGCTGCTGCTGCTGCTGCTGCTGCTGCTGCTTGCCTGCTGTACAACGTTCAATTCAGTTTGTCGTTGCTGCTCCGGCTCCGTAGTTAGTTGCGTTTGTTTCTCGTGCGCCACACGCCAAAATACGAGCAGAGATACACAGTTACAGCTACATATACCTACACGTACATACATAAATACATATCATATGTACATACATACATACATACATACATACATACATACATACAAACTTACATATATCTCTCAATCAATCGCGAGTCGGATCGGGCATCCCAGCAGAGCACACATTTCGCATTTCGCTCCTCTGACGGATACGTGTTCATTTAAATACATTTTTTTTTGTGTGTTGCTTTCGGTTTGCCGCATAACGCATACGGCATGTAGTACGCATATAATAAGTGAACAAGGCATAATATGCAAAGACAACAATTAACGCACATTCTTCAGCTGTGAGCTCAGCGCGGAGGATCCGAGTGCTGTTGTCATGAATCTACTGCAAAGCAAGTGATGCCTCCCCTCTCCCTTCATTAATATATATATATATATATATCTCAAATAATGTTTAATTTGCAAGTGCGAACTGAGCTAAGATCTCTCAAAGAGACACCGAGAGAGAGAGAGAGAGAGAGAGAGATGGAGAGCGAATCTCTATCTGTTTTCAGTTTATTTATTTAAATAAGCCAGACACTTGATAAATAATTAAAATGTTTTGCTCATTTTGGGCACGCGGAAAGTAAATAAATAAAAATAATTACAATGTGCAAAATGTTTAATGATGCCAGACTTTGAGCAAGAGAAATAACCCAGAATCTCACACTTGGCCCAATTATGAAGTGAATTAAGTTTATCTATTTTTATTAGCAAAGAGACACTACATCAACATGTAAATTGTTTTGCTTATTTTTGGCGCGCATCAAAAAAAATAAAAATAAATAATAATAATAAAGTGCAAGTGTGCACTGGGCGCACGCGGAGAGTGAGAGAAATATCCCCGAGAGAAATCTCAGGGCATATTCTCGCCAGCTTAAATACTTATTTACATATATGTTTGTGTTTTGTTGTTTTTGTTGCCTTCTTGTTTTGTTTGTATTGCGAAATACATAAAAACATATTCGTAAAATAAATAAAAGCGACTACCTTGAAGCCCAAGTTGATTTGCTTTTGCGGCTAAATATATATAAACATGCACACTTATGTATATATATATATATTTGTGTGTGTGTACGTGTGTGTGTGTGTGTGTCTGTGTGTGTGTGTGTGTGCATACATAATATACAAATTAGGCGGGTGGAAATGTTTTTGAAAATGCCTTTAGATCTTTAGCCGAGAGACTAATTCAATTTTTTGGGGCTAATCAAAAAACGATGCGGAAGAAAAGTCAACGCCGCATTTTTTCTAAATAAAAATACATTTATCTTTTTTGCAGGAATCGCCAATTGGGCCTCAGATAATCGCGATGGCAATCTGGCAGATAAGGCAAGTCAAAATAAATAAAAATAACTATAAATATATATACACCTTTTACATTATACATGTTTTTCTTTATGATTTTGAAAAACAGAAACAACATATGAAAAACTCAATCAAATTAATGTAACTGAAACTGGGTCAAGATTTGGGTTTGTTTGTGCTTGTGTCTGTTTTTGTCCACATGTGATTGTCAAAGCGATAAGAAATGAAAGATAAGGGCATTGAATGTTGAACTTCGTCTAATGCACTTATAATCGGTGTGGGTGTAAAAGTTTCGGGCGGCAAAATATAGATACATATATAAATGTAGATATATATATATATATTATTTATATAAATATATATATATATGAATAACGTGCCAACTTATGGCGAAACGAAGCAACAAAAAAAATAATATTTGTAAGACTTCGCCGCCTATCCTGTAAGCCAAGGACAATAAGTCTGTGGTGTAATAGGAGCTTAGGATAGGATGTGTGTGCAGCGGAGCCTTTTTAATAATTGGACTCACATTTCAAGAAGATTATATCAGTATGTCTCTTATATAACAGTATTTTTACACTTTGCGGAGGCGTGATTGAAAAAAAGAAAAAAAAAAAACTTAAAAGCATTTTTTTTTTTTTTTTTTACTCTGATAAGAAGTGTGTGGAAAAGTTTTTCTTTTTTTTTTTTTTGTGATGAGCGCAAAAAGTAGACATGTTAAAAAATTATTTGGACCTGACTTTAAATAATATTCTCAAAATATTTACTATTTGTATCATAATTATTATTATCTATGTTTAAACATTGAGAATTTGATTTTTGGGAATTGCTTTGATAATTTGGGAATACAGTTCTAATCTCGTGAGTCTGATAAGAATAACTTGGTAAAAAAAAGATTAAAACTTAATATACTTATGTCTGAACATATATCATAACGTTTGTTTCCTTTTGCTTACAATTCTGGGCTTAAAACTTGGTATTTTTAGTAACAATTTAAATATATTGATTGACTCCGATTCTGATTGTAAATAAAATGAAAAACACCAACAAAAAATGTTCATAAAATCTCTTTTCGTTTGAAAATACATTAAAAGTTTGTGTGAAGTGCTGATAATAAATGAATTAGTACAAAACGAGAATTGCATTTGCTGCTATTTAAACAAAATAATAAATTAGATCAGCTACACAAATCTTGTTTTTAATAACAATGAACTTGAAACTAAAAATTGTACAAACTCGTTTTAAACAAATTACAATCACAATTTTTTTCCGGTTTCATGGCGATGATTTTACAAGCAAATTAGTTGTAGCAATTTTATGGCCTATGGGCAAGTTGCCAGTTAAACTTTCATTGGTTAGATGAAAAAACAATTTTTGTCCGGCATACACAAATCAATTCGAAAATATTTGTAAAGTATTTTCAACCAGCTCACTGAGATGTTTGGAAACAATGTTTAGTTTAGTATACATTGGGTGTTAACTAGATATTATTAAAGGATAGGCAGGAACGTATTTATATTTTTATTTATTTTTTTTATAAATATATTATTTTTTTTTTTGAGTGTAAAATATTATTACCAAATAAGAGGCGCTAATTAGATTAGCAACAGGTAGCAGCTATAATTTTTGGCTCAGATGTTTAGAGGCAGTTTGTGACTTGGTCTGAACACAACGCACAACTAGAATAGTTCAAATTACATTTAGTGCAAGTAAATGTTATTTAAATATTTCAATATATTCGGAAGTTGTAGAAAGGTGCAGAAAATAGAGACTGAATTCAATTTGTGACTAACTAATTAAAGTGTTTATTTGTTGCACAGTCTGCTGCCGATGCTGCCAAGCTCAATCGCAAGGAGTCGTATAAGGCGCAGCGGAAGAACTACAGGCGGGAGAAGAAGCGCGTGGCCAGCGAGCTGATGAACTCCCTCCAGGATCCAGCTGTCATTGTCCTAGCTGATTGGCTAAAGGTAAGTCTCACCTCCTAATTCTCAGTTGAGTTAAGTTCTTTTGTATTATTTTTAAATAATCTTCTCTCCATATCTATGTCAGGTACGCGGCACACTCAAATCGTGGACAAAGCTGTGGTGCGTTTTGAAGCCAGGCTTGCTGCTCATCTACAAGAGCCAGAAGACGAAAAGCAGCCATTGGGTGGGCACTGTCATGTTGACCTCCTGTCAGGTCATCGAGCGGCCCAGCAAGAAGGATGGCTTCTGTTTTAAGCTCTTTCATCCGCTGGAGCAGTCCATTTGGGCACCTCGAGGACCCGATAAGGAGACCATTGGTAAATTGAATTGAGAGCAGGCAAATGATTGTGTCCATTGCCTAATCTTACCGCTACTCCTTGCAGGCGCTGTTGTGCAACCGCTGCCCACAGCTTATCTGATATTTCGTGCGCCCAGCCAGGCGGCTGGCAAATGCTGGATGGATGCACTGGAGCTGTCGCTGCGCTGCTCGGCGCTTCTATTGCGCTCCAATAGCAGCACAACGCCATCCAATGCCTACACCGGCGAACCGCTGCCCGTCTCCAATGAAACGCAGTGGTCGGAGGCGGACTACGAGAAGCACTTTAACGATCACGGTAAGTGGATGCAACAGTGGCTAGCGCCGCCGACACCAACTGAATGCTCAAGCCAGCAGCCTTCGCGTGCCACAACGCCGTTGCTGCTGCAACAGATCTACAGCAGCGCGTTGAGCAACTGGGATCGCAACAAGAGATTCCCAACATTCGGGCAACGCTCGCAGCCGATGCGACACGGCAGCGATGCCTCGAGCATTGATTTTACGCCCAATCAGCGTTTGCGCCGGCGGCATCTGAGTCCCGTCAGCAAATCCCTATCACTGGGTGAGGGTGCCTTCTGTCCAAGCAGCAGCACCAGCGACAATGATGACGATGACTTCGTCAGCAGCAATCTTGGCATCCCAGCACCAACCGGTTCCAGGCCAGTGAGCGCACCACCCGACTGCCTGCTGCGTCCGCATTTCCAAATCAATGTTCAGGGTGAAGGTCCCCAACTATATATGTGTATAGTTGATGCTAGATAGTTGTATTTTTGACAGTAATTCGCCTTCTTTTTTAAGTTTGCAATCATCTTTCGTTATATCATGACAACATCGGTATTCCGGATCGACAATAAGGAAATCGTTAATATATATACGACAACTTATCTTCCAATCCAGTCTTTAGTTTCGTTGTCTCTCTGATCGAACAGATGGTGTTAAACTCGAGCGATGATTCGAATGTTTAATATGTATATAAATCTTATAAAGATTATACCCTATTGCATACTTTTGCACAATTTCAGTTTATCCTCTTTTCCCCAATTTGAAATGGGTTGAAGGTAGATAAAATTGTATTAAGACTTTTCACAGTCAAAAACCTTGTCAGAACTGAATCGATGTTCGCAAGGAATACTTTTTTGCTCATGGTTTCATCTGTAGAATAATGCTAGCTTTAAATTTGGAAATACGATTTTCGCTTGAAATTCTTGTCAAATTGTGCACCAAACAAAAATTGAAAGACAAATCTGACCCAGGCAAGACCGCTTAAGTGCAACCAGAGTATATTTATAGTGTTGTTGTTATTGCTAAGCAGTTGAGAGAAAAGTTCGTTTTAGAAGCAGTCTCGGCGTTGTTTGTTCAAAATTCATGTAATTGTATTGTGAAGTTTTGAGGCTAGCTATACAGAACTCCATTTGCCATTCATCCAACCACTTGCCACTCATCGCAGGCACATTAATTAGTCTATGGAGCGTTGTTAAGGCGATTAGCAACATTTTGCGCATTTTTAGTTGCAACAAAGTAGTTGAGCTTTTCATTTTGAACTGGTTACAGATCTGGACGCTGATAGCCAGAATGAGGCAGCCAATGCGGCAATGTCTGGTCTGGAGTCTGACTCGGAATCAGAGCCGGCACAGGAAGATGATGTTGTTGACCAGCCACCATGCGAGGAGACCACCTATGTGCCATTTCAGGAAGAGGAGTTTGGTGCGGTAAGTAAAGAACCAATTAAATATATATACATATATAGATTTACCTGCATCATCCTTGAACTAATAGTTGTAATTGTGTTTTTGGGTGCACAGCAAGGGGAGCAGGTGGAGGAACTAGCCGAAGAGAATAAGAGTCTCATCTGGTGTATTGTGAAACAGGTGCGACCCGGCATGGATCTGAGCAAGGTAGTCCTGCCAACCTTCATATTGGAGCCACGCTCATTTCTCGACAAGCTCTCTGACTCGTACTACCATGCAGATTTGTTGTCCAGGTAGGTGTTGTGCTGATGTCTATAAACATATAAACTATACATGATTCTTGATCAGATCGACAAACTATCGTTCGAACATTACCACATTTCTTCAGCAGTCGTTTAAGAAAAACCTATCAATATCGGTATTTTTAATTCATCATATAAAACTCCAAGAATAAATCGATCGAGAATAATGTCTGTGATGATTTTATGATACTAGCATTTTGGCTACATATCAATATCAATCTTAAATTAAACGATTCCTTAGTTATCTATATATAATCAATCTTATTTTGTGATCTATATTGGTCGAAAATGTACTTTTATCTATAACTAGATCATTTATTTTTACTCATTTTACTTTGACAGAGCTGTGCATGAGGATGATGCGTTTACTCGGATGAAGATGATTGTGCAATGGTATCTGTCCGGGTTCTATAAGAAACCCAAGGGCCTCAAGAAGCCATATAATCCGATATTGGGCGAAACGTTTCGCTGCTATTGGGAGCATCCGGGCGGCAGTCGCACCTTTTATATTGCCGAACAGGTATCACATCATCCGCCCGTGTCGGCATTTTATGTGACAAATCGCGAGGATGGCTTCAGCATCACCTGCTCCATCTTGGCGAAATCGAAGTTCTATGGCAATAGCACATCGGCCGTATTGGAGGGAGCGGCAACGATGACGCTACTGCCTCGCGGCGAATGTTATACGGCGAGCACACCCTATGCCCATTGCAAGGGTATACTCATGGGCACGCTGTCCATGGAGCTCGGCGGTAAGATCAACATCGAGTGCGAAAACACCGGTTACAAGACGGAGCTCGAGTTCAAGCTGAAGCCATTCCTCGGTGGCGCCGATGCCACCAATGTTGTTGTTGGCAAAATCAAGCTAGGCAAGGAGACGTTGGCCACCATCAGCGGGCACTGGGACAAGGAGTGCCGCATCAAGGATATGAAAACGGGTGAGGAGACGCTGCTCTTCAAAGCGGACGCCGAAATGCGTTCGAAGCGTCTCACACGCTATCTGGTGCCCATGGAGAAACAGTTGCCCACGGAATCGGAACGGCTCTGGCGTCTCGTCTCTGAGGCCATTGCAAACGAGGATCAAATTGCGGCCACCGCGGAGAAAACTGTACTCGAGGAAAATCAGCGTGCGGCTGCCAAGGATCGTGCGGAAAATGACAAAGTCCATATACCCACACTGTTCGAACAGGATAGCTATGGCCAGTGGATCTATAAGTATGCCGATTTGCGGCCCTGGGATACGCGCAACGATGTGCGTCAATATGAGTGCGACTACAAGGTGCTCACCGAGACCCGGAACAAAACGGTGCCCATTGTTCATGGCGCCGAAATTATTCATCCCCTGCGTGCCGGGCATGAGCCATCCATTAGGAGTCGTACACGTTTAACCGTTGGCAAGGAGTCCAACAAGACGCCCAAGGCTATGAACAAATCTCTGGTGTTGGCACCACGTGACACCAACTCGGATTCCAGTCAATCGCCCCAAGGCGCCGTCAAGCGGGGCACGAATAGCAGTTCTTTCAGGCAGTAAGCGATAAATATATGTATATAAATCTGTATATATACTTGTATGCAATTTGGTTTAATGCATTCTTCTCCGCATCAATTAATTAATGAATAATCATCTTTGAATGCTTGTAGAATCGCCGTGACCTTGGAGCAGTTGAATGCCACACTGGAGAATCATACGAAGCAGCTAAATGACATCTCACGCCGATTGGAACGGATGCAATATGCGCCGCCCTCTCAGCACACGTCGCCATATGATCTGCTTGGAGGCGGCGTCTCCCTTTCCACGGTGTTCAAGTCGATAATCTATGCGCTAATTGGACTCGGCGTCAGCCTCATATTGCGCTGGCTGTTTAAATAGTTTAATTATTTGGTTTTATTTGTATATTATTAAGCAGAATTTTTGAGCATATACATTTAGCTGATATATATATATATACATATACATATACATATACCTATAACTATATATATATATATATATATATATATATACATATGTATATATATGTATCTATATACACACCCAATATTCTATAGCTCTATTTGCCTATTGATTATTTGTATTTTGTACATTCTCTCTGTACCACTCAAAATGCCTTCGCCGCGTCTAGAGTCAATCACGAATTATGATTAAGTTAAGTGTTAGGTACTATGTATGTTGTAGTCCAAGTCGGATATATATATACATGTATAAATATATAGCTGGCGAAAAATGCAAACGTTTGCAAATCTGGCGCCACACATCAGGTACGTCTCTTTAGGTCTTTAGGCGTTTTCTAAAGCATTACGGTTTATATATATATATATATATATATGAATCTAACTAATATTCGCACCAACAATTTCGTAACAATTCCAAGTCGCTGACATCTTAAGCAAAATGTAACCAATTCCCGTTGTTTTTTTTTTTCTGTAAGTTACATAATTATTCTCTTACACAAATATATTCAAAACGAGGCTTTCTGCTAAAAACATAAAGAGAGACACTCACAAATCCATTTAGAATTTAAATGCTAAAGTGTGCTTAAAATAAATTAAGAAACACACCCACCCACCCTCACACACACACACACACACACACACAAAAGAAAAACGAAAACATATACACTCGTCACTTATAGAGCCAACACCAATTGTACAACATGAAATAAAAATCAACCTTTTCAATATTTAACTTACAAAATAAAAATTGAACATATTTCGCCCTATTCATTTCAATGAAAATTGTTTATTCTATGCAAAATTGTAGCGGAGGGTGAGTTACGGCCATTTGATGGGATTTTAATTGAGTGGTCTGAATTATTAACTGTGCCTAATTAGGGGTTGTTCGCCCCGAGATATGACACTTGGAATTTGAGCACAGAATTGTACGCATTATATTCCCTTTACGGGGCTGTAATTCATTTAGGCCTTTTGCAAATATTATGCATGTATTATGGTTTTCATTATTTTTTTTTTTGCATTTATTCGTTTTATTGTGGTTTGTTTGCCTTTCGCTTACATTTACAAATAGTTTATACATATATATGTATATTTATATATATACTATATATTTTCTACAACATTTACGGTCATTCTCGACTTTTTTTTTATTTTCCATTTTTAGCTGTTTTACATTTTTCACTTAATATAGGGACTTTTGTCTCTCCGTTCTCTACGATTCATTATTTTTTTGTTCTATAAGCAATCCGGTTTTATGGGATTTATTAACGCGACTGACTCGATATTGTTCATCGTTCCGGTTTTTTTTTCTTTTTATTTTCTTTTTTAGTCATGTGTGAGTAAAAGATGCTGCTAAATATGCGCTAAGAATACACTTATTTAAATAGTTTTCCGTTTTTGTTTTTCTGATTACGCCTTACACTTAGCGGGGTGGTGGGAATAGGGATTTAGGGATTGGGATTGGATTACACAGTATAGTAGCAATAACTAGATTTTTGTAATATATATATATATGAATATATATATATATATTACGTTTCTTCTTAACACTTAAACACGACGAGAAGCTGAGAGTCAAAGTCTCGGTCCTGCAACTATAATGATGCTTTCTTCCTCTTTTTTTTGTTGTTTTTTTTTTCTTTGTTTTGGGATGGGGGACAGTTTGATAAGGTAGATAGGTGACAACAGTTATGAAGCTAATAAGTAGGTTTAGATTAGAGTTTAGTTTATGTTTAGGTATAGGTATAGGTTTTAAACACCCTGTATTACGTGTGTGTGTTTGTGTGTGTTGTTGTTGTTGCTGGTTGTTTTTGTTTGTTGTTTTGTATGTACGCGTACGTCTAGACTTAATTTTACAGTTGGACATGCATTGTGGATCAGCTCTACTATATAGTTTTTACATACAATTGCGCTCTGCACAGCAGGTAAATAACACGTTTTTCGAGTATATATTCAAATATATATATACATATATATATTTTTTTGTATATATATATATATATATATATATATGTATATGTATATATGCATGTAATATGTTATGTTATGTATGCGTACTGTAATTCTGTATCTAGTATAACTGTATGTGCTAATGCATATTGCACTATTCCTCAATGGCTGCTTGAAGGGAGCGGGCAGGCTGGGAGCAGGCGACGTGGTGGTTGGTGGACTGACGCTGATACGGAACCACCTAGCACGTGTGCACCCTTAGATGATTCTGTAGCGTACTCTTCTGGCGAAACTGCTTAGGACAGTAGGAACAGTTGTAGGGCTTCTCACCAGTGTGGATCTTCATGTGATTATTGAGCGTGGCCACCTGCCGGAAACTGACCTCACAGATCTTGCACTTGTACGGCTTCTCGCCCGTATGCGTTTTAATGTGATTAACCAGGGTGCTCTGCTGTGAGAAGAAACGACGACAGACACTACAGCCAAACGGCCGATCCGGATTGTCACCCTTGAGCATATTGATATTGCCCACACTCATCCGGCCGCTCTGCACCGCCTGATAGTGTTCGACTTTGGTGTTGACACCGGCTGCCGCCGCCGCTGCCACATTGGATGCAACGACCGAGCTAACCGTTGTGCTGCCATCGAGAAAGTGGAGCAACGGATGATGATCCAATTGGAGAATATTGGGCGTTGTGCTGTGCAGGTTATTCGGTAGTAGACCGCTCGTCAGCTGATGTGTGCCCGGTGCAAGGGGCGCTGGCATGGTTGAGTGATCCACTGTTGTGTGTTTTGAACATTTTGAACATTTTTTGGGGGGGTGATTTTGCATAGATAGATTGTTGATCGTTGTTGTTGTTGGTTGTTGATTGGTTGGTTGGCATGCGTACAAAATTTAAATAAAAGCTTCGTTAGGGAAGTGCGTTAATGATCAATGCACACAGTGATAACAGAAAGCGGCTCAGTTGTAGGGCGAACACACAAGCGGCTCACCTGTGGCTGTGACTGTCGTTGGGTTCTGCTGCTGCTGCTGCTGGCTGCTGGCTAGATGTGTGTGCGTCTTCATGTGATTGGTGAGCGTCGACTGCTGACGGAACTGCATGTGGCAGTAGGAACACGTATACGGCTTATCGCCAGTGTGGATCTTTTTGTGATTGGCCAATGTAGCCAGTTGGCTGAAGGACTTGTCGCATGTCTCACACTTGTACGGTTTGGGATCGATGTGCGTCCGCTCGTGATTATGCAGCGTACTCAACTGTGGGAATCGTCGCTTGCACACACTGCACTGATACGGCTTCACCAGCTCCTCCGCCTGTGGCGAGCTGTACGTGCCCGAGTATAGAGTCTTTGAGATTTGTACACGCTGCTGCTGCTGTTGATGCTGCTGCTGGTAGGCATTGTGCATCTGATTCGACTGCGATTTACGGCTATGCTTGCCGGATGAGGACGGCGGCTGATAATTGAGTAAAGACGTCGGCGTGCTCGACTCAGCCGCTACGTAGGATCGGATTTAAAATAGTGGAGTTAAGAGTTGTTTCGTTTAAAATCAGTTTATAATATGTCACAAATATATACAGCGATCGCTCGTTAATCATTACGCGGCCACAGTAAATTCTAATTTGCGAATTGCTAAAGCTTTTCTAACTCAATCTACAATACCAGAATATAATAGAACATTAAAAAAGTATCATAACTAAATGCTAATTGGAATACTCCTTTAGGTTCTTCTCTAAATCGATTCTACTTTATTTTTTTTTTTGTAAGATTTAATTTAAAACAAAACTTAAAAGATATTGATATGAATGTAAAGTTAAGTTTGATAATTTCTATAGCCTGACAATTTCAAACGTGTTGAGGAACATAAGAACTACAATAAATGGAAGATTGAAATTTATGATATTTTGAATTTAATGATGTCATTAGAATGATTTTATAGGATATTCGAGATTACATATTCAAATGATCTTAAAAGCAAAAGATACAAAATAGGTAAAACGTGATAAGATACATGTTTTGTTTTAATTTTATGGTTCTTTTCTATATGTAAACATTTGTATTTGAAGTTTATTGTTTTCCATAAAAATTTTAATTGAATAACTTTAGAATAGACTGAATTCGTATTGTATTCGATAGTAGTACTTATTTAATAGTGCTTAGATTAAGTTCTGCGAATTCTAGTTAGCGAGCGATCACTGTATCGATTTGTTGTCCTGCCCCCGCGCACTTACCCTTATGCGTCTTGATGTGATTGATGAGCGTACTCTGCTGTCGGAAGTCCTTGGCGCAAATGTTGCACGTGAATGGCTTCTCGCCGGTGTGGATCTTCACGTGATTGGTGAGCGTCGAAATTTGGCGGAATGCCTTGTCACAGTGCTTGCACTTGTAGGGACGCTCGTCCGTATGGATTTTCATGTGATTGCGTAACGTCGTCAACTGCCGAAACTTATTCTTGCACACGTGACACTGTTTCTTCTTGCGCGGATCATCCACCACAGACTCATCCTCACTGATGACGCTCTGCACTTCCTGCTTCATTGGCGAGATGGGAGTATGATTGCCGCCGCCACTGTTCGTTGTCGTCGTCGAGATGTCGAGCAGATGCACCAGCGGATGTTGCGGATGCAACATGGCTTGATGGGTGGGATGCTGGATGGCCTGCACGGCGGTCAATTGATGCAATGCAAAAGGACCTTGTTGCAGGCTCGCTATGGTCGTCGGCTGTTGCAAGCCATTTGGACCGATGCCGGAACCGCTACCCCCTCCGCCGCCATGCGTGGCTAGCTGGGAGGGCGCATAGTGCTGATAATTGGCCATCGCAGCTGTCGCCGCCGTCGCATGGTTCAAATGCATTATATTTACTTGCCTTGCTTTTTGTTGGTATTCGAGAGAAGGAGAGATAGAGAAATTATATGCTGCGACTTATTTAGTGTACTGTTATTATTATTGTCTTCTACAACGTTATACAATTGTGTTGAAACAATCGCCTGCCATTTGCAGCACACACACGAGCACCCCGTCGGTTTGTTATTTTAGTTGTCTGCGCCTTTCGGCCGCCGCGGCTGCTTCAACGGCCACACGTCGCTATCCACGTATGCGCTGTGGCGCTCAATATGGTATACACTTTCTGTGGCACAACATTCCACACACTTTGCAACTGTTTTCGCAATTGTTTGTGGGGCTTTTTGTGCGATTTGTGCAAATTTTCTCAGGCCACGCTCTTTTTTATCCTTATCAAAACAAAAATGACTGGCGTGGTTTTCCAGGGCTGCCGCACGTCCAGAGTTGTATTGTTGCCATTTATCGAATATGTCGGGAACATCAAGTGCGACTCCCTCTGAGGGCTGTCACACATTTTGGGTCGCCATGACGCAGCGATGCAAACTATCGATTACCTATCGATATCTCGCGCGCTCAGCATTTGATTCCTGAACAATTTTTGGTTTCAAATTATTACAAAATTACTTGTTGTAAAGCTGGTTGTAATTAGAAAAACCAACCGGGAATTAATTGTAAGTGGCCCAACTATGAAAGTGCAGCAAATAAGTTGTTCTGAAATAAAGATTTATGATACATTTAAATCAAGTTTATCTTGTTACACTTACAATTCGAAATGTTTGATTGTCATTTTGTTAAGTGTTTCGCAAATCGAACATATGTAAGTACAGCACATCACAAGAGATATGTTTTAAGCTATAAGGAACTGGATGCGAAACTTCTTGTGCCCCTATTTAATCCACATGGTCAACCCTAAGCCCAGATTTCCGATTTTAAATTATATATACTAGTTATGAAGCTGGTTTCAATTGGAAAGAACAAACGGAAATTACTTGTAAATAACTTAAAGATGCAAACGTTCTATTTCAGCGGGAAAGCAAATCAATAGTTTTGACATATAGATTTCTGATTTATTTAAAGCAAGTTTATCTTAATAAATCTACAATTCATTTTATTTGATTATCAATTTGTTAAGTATTTCGAAAAATGTTAAATGTGCTTTATTCTTGGCAAACTCTCAATTATTGTGAGTAGTCTACGATTTGTGATAAATCCGACGCTACGACAATTGTTAGTTTCCACATGCCATATTCGAATGATATAAGTTTTAGGTTTTTCATCAGTTTTTATGCATTCAAAAGCTTGTAGTCACTTTGTACCATATACAAAATATGAAGCACGATGTTAGTTAGAAGTACCAAGACAAACTGAAGATTAATCTTTAGACCACCAAGGCTACGAAGATTCATCTCTTGCAATTTTAGCTGCAGAGCAAACCATTCATTCTGAAAGAGAGTACAAATGAGTAATATAAACTTATTCATCCTGTTACACTCACACTTCGGTCCAGTTGAGCCCCACTCGGGTATGGGTATCGCATAATGTTTAGTGTACTCTCATTAAGTTTACTAACTCTTTCAGCGATACTGCCGAGCATACAGAGATCCAATATATCAATAAGGCCCGTCATCATCGTGAAGTAAATTACGACACCACCGAATAATTCAATATTCTTTGCAAACAATACCTGAACCGTGAGAAATCCTTTTAAGAACAAGTTGTAAATTTGATGCAAAATATAAAAAGCCAGTGGATACTTGAAAATAGTGCTTATTGCGTTCATCATACGAATGAGTTCATAAAACATATCATGCAATTTTCGCATTTTCTGCAATCCTTGCATTTTATTACGAAATAAGTATTGTAAAGCCAGTTGCAGTTTTATGAAGTTGTAGCAAATAAGCCAGATAAGGGAAAACAGTAGCATATAATTTGCATTGGTTACTGTTCCTAAGAGAAAAATGCATCCACCAAATTTAATAAATTCTCCTTCACTGATATATATATTTATCCACTGCATTAGAACTCTAGAGAATAGTAGTGATAATCTGATCCATAAAATCCGACGTAAGCTTGGGAACTCTGCTGATGTGTTGCAGTAGTTATATGTGATTCCATGCTGATCAATTTTCCTCAGATTCTCATACATTCGAATTATTCTGTGCTGCCAGCGTTGTGTAGAGAATACACAACTTCCGACTGAAAGTGCCGTGGCTACGGGATATGTGACGAAAATGAAATCCATAAGCTTATGTTGTGTTATATGCTTCGGAAATATCATCGGATATATATATATTAGATATGGAATAGTGACCAACACGAGAAGCATGTAAAATCGACGATAATAACACAGAAAACGCGATTTTATTAATTTTCCCGAACGAGCGTCAATGTAGAATCCTACGATTCCACAAAATGCAAGCATATATGAAATGCAAGCGTGAACAAAATGCTTTCCTAAGGACATTTTAAAGGCGACTAGTTAACTGTTGAGAGGTTGCTTATGCATAAGCTCTACAAATTTCTAGACTTTTATTGATTACTGTAATCCACTTAAAAGTTGTGCGATAAGAGATAACAATTAAGAAATGACAGCGTGTTACACTTAATTGATATTTAGTCGTGTTTAATCAGTCATCAAATTGTACTAAATTAAAGTTCCTTGGTTTAGTCAATCTTCCCTCCTTGCTGACTAGGTACTTATCCTTTACAATTTACATATAAGCCCTTACGAATATGGCTGAATTGAACCATTAATATAATAAAATCGAAAGCATAAAACGATTTATTCATGGGACATATGTATACATATGTAAGTACAGCACATCACAAGAGATATGTTTTAAGCTATAAGGAATTGGATGCGAAACTTCTTGTGCCCCTATTTAATCCACATGGTCAACCCTAAGCCCAGATTTCCGATTTTAAATTATATAGTTATGAAGCTGGTTTCAATTGGAAAGAACAAACGGAAATTACTTGTAAATAACTTAAAGATGCAAACGTTCTATTTCAGCGGGAAAGCAAATCAATAGTTTTGACATATAGATTTCTGATTTATTTAAAGCAAGTTTATCTTACTAAATCTACAATTCATTTTATTTGATTATCAATTTGTTAAGTATTTCGAAAAATGTTAAATGTGCTTTATTCTTGGCAAACTCTCAATTATTGTGAGTAGTCTACGATTTGTGATAAATCCGACACTACGACAATTGTTAGTTTCTACATGCCATATTCGAATGATATAAGTTTTAGGTTTTTCATCAGTTTTTATGCATTCAAAAGCTTGTAGTCACTTTGTACCATATACAAAATATGAAGCACGATGTTAGTTAGAAGTACCAAGACAAACTGAAGATTAATCTTTAGACCACCAAGGCTACGAAGATTCATCTCTTGCAATTTTAGCTGCAGAGCAAACCATTCATTCTGAAAGAGAGTACAAATGAGTAATATAAACTTATTCATCCTGTTACACTCACACTTCGGTCCAGTTGAGCCCCACTCGGGAATGGGTATCGCATAATGTTTAGTGTACTCTCATTAAGTTTACTAACTCTTTCAGCGATACTGCCGAGCATACAGAGATCCAATATATCAATAAGGCCCGTCATCATCGTGAAGTAAATTACGACACCACCGAATAATTCAATATTCTTTGCAAACAGTACCTGAACCGTGAGAAATCCTTTTAAGAACAAGTTGTAAATTTGATGCAAAATATAAAAAGCCAGTGGATACTTGAAAATAGTGCTTATTGCGTTCATCATACGAATGAGTTCATAAAACATATCATGCAATTTTCGCATTTTCTGCAATCCTTGCATTTTATTACGAAATAAGTATTGTAAAGCCAGTTGCAGTTTTATGAAGTTGTAGCAAATAAGCCAGATAAGGGAAAACAGTAGCATATAATTTGCATTGGTTACTGTTCCTAAGAGAAAAATGCTGCCACCAAATTTAATAAATTCTCCTTCACTGATATATATATATATCCACTGCATTAGAACTCTAAAGAATAGTAGTGATAATCTGATCCATAAAATCCGACGTAAGCTTGGGAACTCTGCTGATGTGTTGCAGTAGTTATATGTGATTCCATGCTGATCAATTTTCCTCAGATTCTCATACATTCGAATTATTCTGTGCTGCCAGCGTTGTGCAGAGAAGATACAACTTCCGACTGAAAGTGCCGGGGCTGCGGGATATGTGACGAAAATGAAATCCATAAGCTTATGTTGTGTTATATGCTTCGGAAATATCATCGAATATGTATATGTTATATATGGAATAGTGACCAACACGAGAAGCATGTAAAATCGACGATAATAACACAGAAAACGCGATTTTATTAATTTTCCCGAACGAGCGTCAATGTAGAATCCTACGATTCCACAAAATGCAAGCATATATGAAATGCAAGCGTGAACAAAATGCTTTCCTAAGGACATTTTAAAGGCGACTAGTTAACTGTTGAGAGGTTGCTTATGCATAAGCTCTACAAATTTCTAAACTTTTATTGATTACTGTAATCCACTTAAAAGTTGTGCGATAAGAGAAAACAAATAAGAAATGACAGCGTGTTACACTTAATTGATATTTAGTCGTGTTTAATCAGTCATCAAATTGTACTAAATTAAAGTTCCTTGGTTTAGTCAACCTTCCCTCCTTGCTGACTAGGTACTTATCCTTTACAATTTACATATAAGCCCTTACGAATATGGCTGAATTGAACCGTTAATATAATAAAATCGAAAGCATAAAACGATTTATTCATGGGACATATATGTATATTTGGTTTCTTAGATGACCCCATGACCATTGAATGCAGTTCGATTCGGGCTATTTCAAAGACTAAAAATATTTATTTGCCTGGTGATTCGAATAAAGCTAGTTAAGTAAAAGTCTGTCATTATGCAACGTGTGTAATTCAATGCCTTAGATTGAAAGTCAAAAATGCCAAGTACATTATTACAGATGCTTGTCCAGATTTTGAATCATGTAGGATACATATCATTATTTATCTACGAAGTTTAGCTGTAAGTCTTGATTTTGAATTATATAGGTGAAATATCGATATTTTCTATTATTTATCTACTAAGTTAAACTAAGGCTTACTCTTTGGATTTGTCTTCTACGACCAAGCCCTCATATATAATATAAATTAGTATGGGTTTCGACAACAATTTTTGATATAAATAGATATGTATATCAAAGTAATCAACTTTAAATATGTTTATCAAAGTACTCAACTTTAAATATATATATAAATAGATGTAGTCGCTTACATTATACATTAATATTTCAAAAATCGCGAAGTAGAATTTGGAAACTCTACGAAACGCCAATAGGTAGGATATCCACGCAAAAGCTGAAGGAATATTTCATTGCATTAAGGAACTTGTTTTTCTTTTTCAAACTGATTAACAAAATGCATTGACTATTTTTCGCGATAAGCGTGTGTCAACTCGAGAACATTAGAAAATGGCGAGTTGCGGACTTATACGTGGTGCCATTGAAAATGTATTAAAAGACTGTACTCAAGTTGTGCAAAAGTATGTAACGGATAGATGAAGGCATTTCCGATGCCATAAAGTAAATATATTCAAAATTAGAATCAACATCCGAGTTGATTGGTTGCATAAGCAAGGCGACCTTAGATGTTATAGGAGCTAGCGAGTTACAATTTGAATTTATAATATTGAAATCTAGTTAAACACATTTCTTACAAGCTAATCCGATAATTCAACGATTTCCCCAGCATTGTTTATTAATCTCTCAAAACTTCCTCTAGGCAGCTTTTATTCAACCTTTCAATTCAAAAAGAATCCACTCTTAACGTGATCTATTCGTTCAGGGCGGCAATCAAAAACAATTTATATATATATATTTCCGAAAGACACGCACGAAAGCGTCGCCAGCTGCCGAACACATCGATCGGTATTATATTTTAGCCGTATTTGAACAATTTGCTGCGAGTTTCACATTTTCAGTGCGCTGGCAGCAATCACGGGAAACGGTTGGATTTGAAACTGATTCGGAATTGGATTCAAATTGGATGCGAAAATGTGTGAAAAGTGATTCTAGTGACAGTTGGGAAAATTACGGAACCTTGAATTTGTCTAATTGATTGAAAATTAGCCGGCAGAAATATTAAAAATAATGCAATTCATGAGCACGAATCGAATTTGCCAAGTTTTTTGCTAAACGGATTTCATGCTTCAGTTAAAGCTTGTCAGTGATAAAAACAAAATAGTTAACGTGACTATCAATGTGCATTTATTTAAATTTGAGCAAGGTCGCAACAATAATGACCTCAACCTGGCTCTGGATGTGGCTGGGTATTGGGTTATTACGCCCAAGCCATGCCCACTACATACAAATCGATCATGAGGAATTTCGCGCCAGTGGATATCCACATCCTCCACTGCCACCTGCACCGCTGACCCCACTGGAATTGGAGCATCTGCCACATGTGGTCGCCTCTAAGCAGTTAACCCCGGGCGAGGTTATGGTTGATCTGACCAATGATCTAACACATCGGTTGCTACACTATCACGCCATCCTCAATCGCAATAATTTTGCATTCTCGCCAACGGCGCTGGTCAGCGTGCTGGTAGCTCTCTACGAAGGGTCTTCGGGAAGGAGTGCAACGGAGCTGAGGAATGTGCTGCAATTGCCCAACAATCGTGACGTCATACGCGTTGGATATCGTGACATACATCGACGATTGCGGGTGAGTCTGATTAAAAATACTCTTTTTGCGTGGTACACTCAAAAAAAAAATGATTGCCACTATAAAAAGGAAAACCTACATGTGAATTACTAGAATTTTGAAAAGAATGTAACTTAAACAAATTAAAAAAAAGTTTTGCTGAAAAATTAGTGAGTAACGAAAAGCAAGTGCTTAAACTTTCAAGCAATTTGATTCGTAAATTTTGTAAAATGATATGCACCTTTTGAAACATGTTGTTTCAAGGCAAAAAGTTGATCTGAAAATATAAGAAATTCAAATATTTTCGAGATTGTCAGTAAGGAGTAGAACATTTATTTTTTATTGTTGACTAAAAAAAATATTATTTTTTACTTTATTTTTTGGGAAAATGTGTTTCTGTGTGTAGCTTATAGCTAAACAACTAAAATTTATATGCTTCGTTAAGCACATTGGCGGGCGCTGTAATCCACTTCCCTCTCCACTCCCGTAATGCGGAGATTATACTTGACTGATAAAAAAACCAGTCATATCCATGTTGAGCGCCAAGCGCTTTGGGTCAGATACAGTGATAGCATTTGTAGTTGTGCCCCAAGCCAATGCCGACAGATCTATTTATCGATGATCAATTGTTTCTATCTAGAGTTGATTGACCCCACTTATTATTGTTTGTTTTAAAGCCAAACAGTCTGCAATGATTGGCCAAATATTTTGGGCACAAATAGAATGTATAATTGATAGATGTGTGTAGAATTTAAAATTGATAGATGTATATATATATATATATATATATATATGGTTATTGAATACAGTTCATATTCGTAAATACCTATATGCTTGGCTAAGTATCAATAATAGAATGGTTATGGATAAGTTTGAAGTGGGAACGGAAGCTTTTAGACTCGAAAAATTATATAAATTAATTTGCTCACAGTCCTGTGTACTATATTTAAACAAAAACTTAAACCTAATTGCTAACATTGTGATTATAAAATATTTAAAAAAAACATTTTTAAAATGTATTAAGATAACATATAAAGTTTTTATTAACCAAATTTGATTGCCTAACTATAATATTTGTTATACAACTTTCATTAAAATTGCCTAACTATAATATTTGTTATACAACTTTCATTAAAATGTAGTCGTAACTGATTAATTTATACAAATAATTTAAAAACCTAAACTAATTTGAGTAACATTCTGTTCACATTTTCAACTTGTGTTTTCTTAAAATAATTCTACAAATTTCCCTAATGCAAGACATATTTGATTTATACTTATTATAATTTCAGACGTATTTCTTCGGGTCTGATAATCCCTTAAAGGGCCTAAGCTTGAGTAGGAGCAATGTGACAGTTCTCAAGGACTTCGAAACTGTACTGATGTTCTATGGCTACGATTTAAGTATCGATATGCGATCATCAACGCCAGCGAATATTACAACAGATGCACAAATGGCCAATACCACCGTGGCCAGTAATGCGACCGCTGAGGAGATGCAGGATACTACTACACCAAAAGACGAGGAAACAACAACAACAACCGAGTTAATCACAACAACAACTGAAGTTACAACAACAATACCAACAACAACAACCACCGAGGAAACAACTACGATAGAAGCAGAGACAACAACAACTGAGGCAACAGAAACAACGTCTGGCGAGGCAGCTGAGGATGGAGGTGAAGATGAGGCCGCTGAGCTTGTCTCTGCATTTGTGGCCGAAGAGGATGCAGAACCGTTTCTTAGGATTCAAAAGGCACGCGTTTCAAGATTACCCACCAGTAAACTCCAAGCACCCCTCAAACACTCCAACCCCATAACGCCCAAGCCCAACTATCTGCCAAGTGCTCGAATTTCCATTATGCCAATGATGGAGCGCCAGGTAGCAGCACCACTGCAAAGAAGGATGAAATCATCGAACAGTGCTCGACAAGTTTTTAATACAACTGCGGCAAATCCTCGCAAATCGAGCACAAGTACAGCACGCCACAAGAGACACGTTTTGGGCTATAAGGAACTGGATGCGAATCTTTTTGTGGCCCTATTTAATCCACATGCACCACATGGTCCACCCCACCCGCTGCCCATACCATCCGCCGCTGCCTTTGCGCATATTACCAACGATTTTGAGCCGCATTTTATTAGTGATGGGGCGGAGACAAAAACCAACTATAATACGGATGTAATTAGCCACGTTTTTTATCTGGGCAATCAGCAGGTGGTGCACACCACCTTTAAGGTATACAATGCGGTCTTGTATTACAAGTACTTTGAGCACTTGAAGATGAGTGTGCTGGAGTTGGAGTTGGACACACCGGAATATAATCTAATGATACTGCTGCCCGATTATCACATGGATATTGTGGCAGCTGCTGCCTCGTTGAAACTCGGACCAACGCTGCGACTGATGCGCAAACAGTTAAAGCCACGTTGGGTGCAGGCCATCATACCCGATTTTAAGCTCCATGGCACCATGTTTCTCACCAACGATCTTCAAAATGTAAGCTTTCAATGAAGATATTTACACTACGTATAAAAAATTTAAGTATGAACATAAATATATCTGTCCATCCGTGTAAATAAACCAGTCTATATTAATTGACTGGTAGTTGGGAAAATATTTGAAAATTTGATTTCTTGAATTAGCGATGATTTCATTTAAATATCTTGCTACTCTAACTCCAACGTAAATAGTCAACAATATTATTTTTCTAAAGTTTAACTAAAACAAACTGAATAATCATATCAAAAAATGTTCTTTCTTGTTTTTATTGGTATATTCAAAGTATTCTCCCGTTTCTTTTGCAGATGGGCATGTAAGCAGACTGGATTGCTCTTCCTTTTCATTTGGTTATCTGACTTTTTACTGTCTGGTTTTCCCTTTCATTACAGCTGCGATATATTCGAGCCAAATCGCGCAGACTTCCGACCCATGACTGATGAGAAAGGCGTCTATGTGCGGCACATTGAGCAATCGATCGATGTCAACATTCGTACGCATCCCATCAATCAGCTTAAACGTAAGAAGTAGCTATGTAGTTGCTAGTTGCAAGTTGCAACATTGCAGCACACCTCGACGCATTGAAGCATTAAAACAGATCTCTATCGAGGTGTTGGGGCCCAGTTGCAACTGCAACTGAAACTGCAACAGACAAATGTGCAATAATGTATTTCCTTTTCTTCTTTTTTTTTTTTGTTCAGGCAACTCAGGTGCCCAAACGAAACCCATACAGATCTCTGTTAATCATCCGTTTCTGTTTTTCATCATTGATCGCGACTTGGACGTGGCGGTTATGTCGGGCCGTATACTCAATCCACTCAACGTGCGCATACAATGAGGGATCCACTGTTGAGGCAAAGGCACTGGTGCAAAACGAAGGTCAGCACGTATTGACAGCAACAGAAAGTGAAGCTGGGGAGCAATGTCCGCTTCCTGGGTTACTACTTAAACATCTATGTACATTCAAATGTTGTATAATTGTCAAATGTATATAACGAAAAAATACTTTGTTTTATAAATGATGCTCACTCTTTTCTAAACAATGTTTTATACATGGCGTTAACGAGCATCGCTAAGGTTATGCACAAATAATTGAGACTTGGAAAATGGTAGTTCAAGTAATAATTTTATTGCTTTTATTTTATGAGGATATTCCAGAGGAAGTCGAAGTTTTAGGAAAATCGACGCAAATTGAGTGGCAATAGAATTAAGAGTTCCATGCAATAACTGAATTATATTATTGATAGTCTGACTTAGGTGTATAGTTTAAAATCTAGTTTATCCAAATTTGGTAAGTTAACTAAATATACATTTAAAAACAAAACGGTTAATTGGGCAAAATCGAAATTTTTGACCGATTAATTGTATTCTTCATGATTTCTCTATTCTATAACTGGTAACATATTTTTGTTCCCTGTTTATAAAATATAACCAGGTATAAGTCCAAAAATGGTCGTATTAAATTCACCATGATGGTTGTTATTAGAGAAGTTCGATAAGAGATTGTCTAGGTTACACATAAATATTGGTGGTATTTAGAATATAAACGTATATGTAGATATATATATAACAGGACAAGTAATTAAACTTATGCTCGAAATGTGATTTAATTTAGTAATGAGAATCTTTCCATTGTCCAGGAGCGGTAACAGTACATTTGTGTGTACTGTACTTTCAACTAGTTTCTTTTGAAGTGTGTTAATAATATACCTGTAATAAGAGTGATTTATTTATAGTTTTAACTTTCGGAATTCACAAAATACTCAACCTCATAGTCTTCATCAGATGCACACAGTATCCACTAGATCAGTACTGATACGTTCCAAATACTGTGCACACACAAAACAGGCTCGTATTGCTGAACACCTCGGTGACGGATGTGTCGCAGTCGCAGTCCCAACAGCAGCGCGATAAATAGGTGGATCCTGCACCCAGCTCCTGGCCAAGCATTACCTGCACGACATGCTTGTAGCGCTTTACTTTGGGATTCGAGGCTATTTGCTGATTCACATCGTCAGCAATCTCACGCGTCCAGTTCTTGGCCACATCCTTGTCATATGTTTTATCTAGAATTGGTTGCTTAGCAACGATTGTTTGTTTGAATTTGTTCGATTTTTACAAACCTTTTAGTTTGTCAGTCATTACACTATTTATTATGTTTTTCACAATGGGCAAGGGGAAGGATTCACCAAATGCTGGTCGCATGCTGTACGCCGCCGGCTGACTCGTCAGTTCCTCCTCCTGCATTTCCACATCCGCCAAGATCCCTGTTGCAAGCGGTGTTCTTTTTTTATTCTGCGTTTTTGTTTCGCTCGCTTCCATTGTTGTTGACCCTTCGGTGTTTACCGAATTCTTGCTTTTCTTTTCTTCAGGCATTTTTGTTTAATTCGGGACTTATATTGCAGTTTGACCGGTGAAGTTTCATTAAACACAAAAAAGGAAAACAAACTCGTTTGTTGTGCTCTCTGCTTCGCATTAGGGATGGAATTTTAATCGGCAACTCAGCTCGCGCAGTTATCGAATTGCCAATCACTCACGAGATTCATCGATTCTTTTTCAAAAGCACCAAACGGCACAAGTTTATCGGTTTAATTCAAATAATGCAATTACAGTAGTATAATTTCCAAATCATGAAAAATGTTTTGCATATTTTACAAAAATAATAAAAGACAAGAACGGCAATGAGAATTAAAACTGCTACCGTTCTTTATTTGTTTTTTTATGTGTCGTTGCTAAATCGAGTGTTCAAATAAATAATATATCCCTTATTCACAATTCATAAAATCTTTATTCAATTTTTAAATAAATTAGAAAATTACATAATAAATTCGATAAATATGTTGATAATAGGATATAAATAATAATTTAAATCAGTTTTATTAGTATACAATCAATGTTTGCTTTGCTTTCGCTTTTCGTCATATACGCTCGATTTATACATATGTATATAGAAAATATTTGTGTGTATATATCTTTGTGTTCACTTTGATTTCAGTTGGGCAGCAAATTACATGCATGGGTGATGATTGACATAGTACATTATTCATGTAAATAAAAAGTACACATACAAATAAATGAAAACATAATCTAAGAAATAAACAAATACACCATTTACAATTGCTCAAAGGAAGAAACAATTTGCACACTTACACATAATATTCACGATACATAGTTAACTTATTACACAACATAATACAACATACAAAGATCAGACGGTTCACATCAAATTGTTTTTAAGGCTGCAACAAACTAAAAGACTAAAAAATTGTGATCCAAACTAACTGAACACTAAAATTAATTAGCAAATTTTTTGTTTTTTGGTTCTATTATTTATACAATAATGTTGCGCGTTTCTTGAAAAATATCTAAAACAATCCGACCTAAGTTTATATAAATTATTTTCTTGCTCGTTTATCTTACAGCTCATGCGTTTCATATTATCGTTATTTTTATTGTTGTGTTCCGCTGCTTATAGTTTTTTGCATTTATTATTTTTTGTATTTCTTTTTTTTTTTTTTTTTTTTTTTGGTACATTCTGCTTAAGTATTTAGGCGTAAAAATCCTTGCCAGACCTCGTGTGCCAATAAACCCCAAGGCATATTTGTTATTCAAATCTGAAAGTGTATAGGATAGTCGATTATTATTCGATGAAATGAAGATGGTATTCTGCTAATTTGGAGACTTGCATTCGATTCGTCCTGTTCGTGTGATTGGCCGGCTAGTGTAATGCCTGCCTCTGTTGATGTTGAAGCAGCGCTCGCTGCCGTTAAATCCACTTGGGAGGCAGTTGGTCGTAATGCCGCCCGCTTAGCCACAATTTCCAGCATCTCATTGAGTATTGCACCCTCAGCAGCCACATCGGCGTAGTTTTTGTCCAGTTCTATTAATGCAATACACTTATTAGATAAAGTCAGTTTAAATTAATTACGAGTCACTTACTATTGCAAGACAAACGCAAATTAAGCTCCTCTTTAAGTTGTGCATGCCGATATTCCAATTGCAGTTCCTGTTGCCTTATGGTCAGTTCCTCATCACGTTTTCTGTGAAATAAATAAATAGTTTATTAACATTTGCCAACAACAGCTGAAAACCGGTTTGATTAAATATTCCCAAGAAGACTTTCAAGTCATTACAATTTGTACGGCGCATTCACATCAACTCAATTAATACTCACTTTAGTGCTGTGATATTGCGCCAAATTTCCAAAAGTTCCTTTAATAGCTTTTCATCATTGTCCTTCGTCGCATCCAAGCTTTAAGAAAAGTTTTCATTAAGAGATGTTGTGACATTTATTTTTCGGATCTTTTCTTGCTCACTTTTCGTAGTTGTGCGCCTCGCCCCTTAGAGCCTTCTCAATGAGAACGCCTCGAGCCTCTAGTTCCTTTAGCTGCACCTCGATCTCCTCCTGTTCACGCTGTATTTCTTGAGCGATTCGCAATCGCTTGAGCTCAGCCTGTCGTGAAGCCTTCGATATGGCACGTTGCTTCTTATGCTCTCGTGTCTCGTTAGCGTTGCTCTCATCTACACATATATGTGATATATACAGATAGATAAGTATATGGATACGCACCAGTTTACAAATTTCAACAGCAAAACAAAAAGATTGAGGGAAGTGACAAACATAAAATGATAAACAACAAACCATCGGATCTTTGATAATTCAGTGGCAAAGGCGGTATGGGTGGCGGAGTCTGGTCGTCCTGGGCATTCGCTCCAACCAGATGATGGGGCTTATGTATATAGAGCTGCGGGCTGGACGATGAGAACGATTCGGTGTTCGCTTGCTTTCGGTAGCGACTGTTGTTCGTTGTGTTGTTTGGGTAATTTTGGGTGTGTTTTGTTGTTTGTGATATTGTTGCTGTTGTTGATGTCATTGTGCTTGTTGCGTTATTTGTGATCATATCCTTGTCCTAATTTCATTATTCAAATACATTTGATTAAATATCAAGTGTGTGTGTGTGTCAGATTTTGTGTATTTGTAATTGTGTTTATTATTTGTTTGGTTGGCAGCAACAAGAAAGAAACATTCAAAAATGAAATAGTTTTCAGCTTTCAGTTATCAAGCAAAATGTTATAAACAACTAAGCGTGCTTAAATGTCCTGGGGAGCTCAATTGGAGTATTCACCATAACCAAAAGATCCACACCGAGTTTTCACAAAAATCCCAATTCATGCAACATGAACTTAATGCTAGTCTATTGAAAATATTTTTAAACAAAAATATCATGTTGCCAAATAAATATATAAATAAATCGATTTAATTAACAAAAAACTTAATAAAAAAAAGATAAAATAAAAATTGTAATAATAATTGTCAAAAAATTATCAAAAATCTATATGAATACGGCAATTCACAGTTTGTGTATAATGCCGATTATACAACCCGATAAATAAAATAAGAATATACACAAAGTATCATAAGCAAGTAATACAAATTAGGGGGTATCAGGCAATCTTAAATTTAGGACTTAAATATTTTCAGCTGCAAATTGTGAAAAGAAAATGAAAGTAAAATAAATAAACATTCTTGCAAGCGTACTAAATGAAAATTAAAAATGAATTAAAATAAATTATAATTCCACATAAGCGAAACACGATAAGATGCTCCACCCATATAGAGTAAAAATATATTAATTAAAGCATTAATTATTAAGCACAGAAAATAAATTATAAATTTTGAAAACATAAAATGAATAAGTGAAGAGAAATTAAATCGCTGAATGGATACCGCTGGCAGCCTTATTTGAACATTTTTAAAATCTTCTAAGTCCGATCTTAAACAAATTAAATTCTGATCATATTTTTTGAATGTAAATCATAATGAAGTCAACGTAAATAATAATTAAGTGTTCTCGAAAGTTTTAAAATTTGTTCCCTATAATATGGATTTCATTTTTGAATGAAGATGCTGAAAAAAAATAGGATACAACTCATGCCAAACATTTAAATTTAGCTGAAGTACAAATAACCAAAATGAAGGAAACAATTAAATGCATAATGGCAATGAACTAGTGTAGAATAGGTAAGTAAAATGTTCTTACACCACCACCGAAAGTCCTTAGATCAAAGCAAGACTGCAAAATGTTAGAAAAAGTTGGTTAGTTATAAATGAGGGACATATTTACATATTATTACCGCACACCAAATAAATCAGTCAAGATCTTAAATAAGCATAAAGCCCTAAAGGGTGAATATGTTTTTGTTTTCTTTAAGATGTAAGAGTTGTACGAATACTTAGTGGATTACATAGAACTGAACAACTGCAGACAACAAATAAAATTCAATTTTTAGTACAAAATATTCTTACACGTGTCAAAATGTACATTTCTTTTTACAGGAACAACAAATTTATATTGTTTACAAATAAATTAGCTAATGTTCTTTGTGCGTTTCGATTATCAGCAGAAAATGAAGCTATTTCATTACAAGCACAGCAGATTAAAAGAAGACAATAAAATGTTTTACTTCGATTTTGAAGATATAATGTACATTTTGCAGTGAAAGTATCAAAAATAGTTTGTAGTGGAAACGGATTACGGATCACATTTAGGCGGCTGTGAATATGGCTAAAGACAGGCGCTTACCTTGGACTTCTCCTTTGATTTGGGTGAGATGCGGAAGCGACTAAAGACGCCTCCACCACCGCTTCCCGCATCGGAGATCGTGGGCGTGCCGCTGCTGCTTGTGCCTGGACGCTCTGCATGCTCAGAGTAGCTGGCAGCTACAGCGACGCCCTGTTCCTTGGGACTGCTGCTGGACGTTGTTGAGGTCGTTGTCGTGGAGCTGTTGCCCTTGTGAAAGAAGCTGGACAGCGATTGGATGAGGCTTTTGCGACGCTCCGGGTCCTTTTGCCGCCTGCTTGACTTTGTCGATTTTAATGGTTTATTCTGTGCACCGGCTGCCAAATTGGGATCAGATGTAAAGTCCGCTGCTTTCGCTTCGCTGTCCAATCGATTGATTTGCTGCTGCTGCTGTTGTTGTTGAGCATGGCTGACCATGTAGGCCAAATCGTTGACACTTTTCGAGGCGCTCATTTTGCGAGCACGCGCTGTTAAATCACCAGAGATTGCCTCCTGCTGCTTGGCCTTAATGGCGCTATTCTGATCGTATTGCAGACGCTTGCGCAGCAGCTGCATCTTCTCTTCTGGACTGAGACCCAGTTCGGAATTGGACTTGAGACGTGCCCTGGCACGAGCCTCGCTGCGCAGATTCTCTGTGGAGGCAGAGATGCTGACTTCAACTTTTGTCGGATTCCCATTGCGATGTGGACGCAATGGCGCCATCGGTGTGGTAAACTCATCCACCTTGCCATAGCTAAATGAGGCCGTTTTGTTCAGTTTGTGTCGCTCCAGCAGATTAAATTGCTCTGCGTCTATATGTTCACTAAATGGTCGGGATTTGTAGAGATCCGAACTGCGAACCGCTGGCTGTGCAGTGCGATATGGAGACACATAGCTGGCAGTGGCGGATTTCTGTAGAGGATTGGGTGGCTTAAAGGTTTCAATGATTGGACTCGACGGCTGCTGTTCGACGACCGCCGTGGATACATGATAATGTGCCTGACTGCTGCAGTTGGCATCACTCGAACTGCTGGCGGCGGCAAGCTTTGGCGTTGGACTCAAACTGGCGCCGCTGGCATAACCGCTGGTCAGGAGACTCCTCTGGCGACTGCGATGTAGACGCTTCTCGGCATTGAGTTGTTTTTTGGATTGAAGCTTATCCATGACCAGATCGTGTATGAGATCTTTTTGCTTGGTGCGCTCCTTGCTGATCTCCTCGAGTTTGCTATTTAGAGTGGGTATCTCAGGTACTTTGCTCGATGAGCTGCTGCTCCGAGGACGCATTGTCACAGCTGATTCTTGGTCCTCCTCCTTTGCTGCTGTTGCTGCTGCTGCTGCTGTTGCTTCTATCACAGTTGACTGCGGCTGATGCTGCAGATTGGGCGCGTCACCCTTGGAACTCTTGCGTCGCTGTGTGCTAATCTCTGAGATACGCTGTTGGAGCGCACGCACATATTCAAACTGTATTTGTATATCCTCTTCGGACTCCTTGGCTGCCACAGCTGGTGCGGGTGTCGAGCTGCTGTTGCTGCTAATGGTGGTCACTGTGGATTGAGTCGTCTTCGGCTGCTGCTCCGAGCTGCTGGGCGTTGAAATCTCAGCTTTGCCAGATGCCAGCAATGTGGCAAATTGATCCAGGACTTTCGGCGATGAGGTATCCAGTGGACTTGTGACTACAGTTAGGGCCTCGCTCTCCTCTGTGGTGGTGGGTTGCGTTTGCGAGGTGACCATGCAGCCCACACTATCGTCATCAAGTTCATTCAATGTGCTCGAGTCTGTCAACGATTGCGTCATAAGGCGTGGCTCCTCATTTACTGGTGTCTTGGCATCATCGTGCATTATGTAAGCACCCTGCTCGATATAATCAATGCCCAGTTTCTCATCACGCTTGGTCAAGAGTGGCTGCAGCGGTTGCGCATTTGTTTGACTCGCCACCGTCTTCTGTTCCGTCGTCTGTTTGGGCACACTTTCAATGTATTCCATATAGCCACGATTGTGAAGCAAGGCTGTATTAGTTGCTGAATACGCTTCGGCGCAGGAACCCTCGGAGCCCGTGTCCATAAACTCAATATCATCAATATCGATGGCATGCAGGATGCCACCCATAACGGCAACGGGCGCCTGTTTGGCCAGCTCGTGGAGCACCTCAGTGCTGCTGGGCAGCTTGGCTGTCACCGATTGTTGGTTGTGGCGACGTCGATGATCCTTTCGTCGCTTTATTGTGCCCTTGTTGGAGTTCAGCACAAATTCCATATCGACAAAGTTCTCCGAAATGCAATCATCGGCCGTCCAATCGGACAGTTCTGTTTCTGTGAACACCTGGCCGGTGCCAGTGTGTTCTGTTTCCGAATCAGAGCCACGCGAATGTAGATCCCCTGTGGGCGTCTTGTCGCTATCATGTTGTGTGGGCGTTGTAGGCGTGTCCGGAGTTTTGGCTGCTGCACTGCTGCTTAAGTTGAGCGTAATGGGCTTGACGACCTGACTGTGCTCCGGCTGCCGTTCGACGATCAAAGGCAAATTTTTCAAAGTCTCAATTTTGTTTTCGTTTTTGCTATCAAATTTAAGCTTGGGTGGTCCCATCTCTGGCAGTGCTGGTGGTGTTGATACTAATTGGCGTTCCGCTTCGATAACTGTACATTCGGCTGGCTCGGGAGTAGCTGTCACTGGCTCCACTTCTGCATCGTGATCGTCGTCCAGTTCGCTGGTTTTTATTGCTGCCACGACTGGCGGAACTATGACGCCCGCTGGCATATCCAGAAATTTGACATCCTCTGGATCACCAATATATTTGCCATTCACAATCATCAGGCTGTCCACCTGCATTAGGGCGCCACTGCTATCGTGCACTTCCACACGTGGCACATTGTGCTTGCCCCCACCTGCGGTCTGTGTATCCGGACTAGTTGTGGACTCCAGTATATAATGCTGTATGTCCTCGATGCTGGAGCTGTCGGAACTGGAGCAGCTGGTCGCACTGCTGCCTGTGGTAGATATAATCTCCGACTTTGGCTTGGTCCATGGTATATTGGGCACCTGAATTTGCAGTGAATCCTCCTGCTCCAAATAGTTAACTTTCTCCGGCGAGTCACGTTTCTCCTCGTCGGATTGACAGATCAAAGATTGCTGCTCCTCTTCATCAGCTGCACCGGCAGCCTCCTTCGCTGCCTTGATATCACCGAGTATATCAGGTATGCACTCTTTCACATCCTTGGACACATCTGGCTTAAGATCATTGATCTTATTGCTGTCGGGCATCAGGGCAGACACCACTGCCACATTCAGCTCCGGATTGATGATAGCATCGCTCGTTGTTTTCATCTTTGGTGTCTCCAGCACGGTGAGATCAATAAATGGAACTGGTTTCTCCGGCGTAATCAGATCAATAACCTCGACGATTGTTTTATTGCTGGTTGGCGTTGTTGGTGATGTCTTCTTATTGAGCTGGTCCAGCAGCGTTGCATTAACAGCATCCGTATACTCCATGCCCTTGTTCAGCTCGTTTTTACTGTTGACGAACACGTTCTCCTTCTCATTGTCCGTGGAGTTGCTCGATGGTGCCTTCTGTATCTTGAGCTCCACCCGAAGATCATTAATCACATTGCTGGTGGCGGAACGCATTAGTTCATTTTGGGTACTATCTCCGAGCTTGGTGCGATCGAGGAAACTACGCATGCCTGCACTAATATCGCTGCTGGGATTAAGGAGCTTCTGGCATTCGGAAATGTTCGACTGGAAGCTGCGAATGCGCGAATCTAAAACAGAGGTGGATCCCGATTTTTGTATCTTATTGCCATTGGCCGGTTCCCCAAGCAGGTAGCGTTTCTTAAGCTCCAGGCTCTTCTTGGAGGCAATACCTTCGGTGCTGGCAGTTTTGTTTAACAGATAGTCACCAGGTCGCGGATTCTGGAGCGGCGCACGTTGGCTGCCAATCAGCAGCGTGGGATCCACCTGAACGAGTGGCTTGAACTGTGGCAAAGGTGGCTGTGGCTGATACTTTTGCAAATAGCTGCCACCTTTTTCACGCGATGCCAGCTGCTTCTGATGCAGACCTGAGGCACTGGCCGTGATCATGCTGGACTTGATCTGTAAATTAGGGATGAAGCATTGATTAGGATAATGATAATCTCTCTGAACATCGGTTGTCCTTACCTGTACTTTTGTGGGTTTGCGCAGATGTGTATCATCGATAAAGATTTTGGGTGCCTGCCGTATGATCTCATCATTATCGAACTCCGAATCGGTGGATATTTCTGTGGCAGAGTTTAGTTCAACTTCGTCGGGCGATGTGCTTTCAGATTCGGTTTGTACCTGCAATTGTAGCCATTGGGCAATAAACATTTAATAATATGTACAATTTTCAGCAAAATCAATACATAAAAGCATTACAAAAAAAACGAATAAAGAAAACATTGAAACAAAGCATCGAAAAAATAGGCGGCGGCTTTCGAGATCAGCAAGATCCTAAGCAGATTTGGATTATCAAACATGCTTAATTAGTCAAGAGCTTTTGGAACATTTTTGTAGTTTTTTTTTTTAAGTTTTTTTATTTTAATCAGCAGCTGCAAATGGCAATGGCAACGGAAGCGCCAACATCATCACATGCCTTTTAGGTACGATCCAGAATACAAAACGAACGAAACACAACGGAGGCTTTTCTTTGGGTTAGATCTTGAGTTTGGGTAGATTTTAAACGGCATTGGGTTATTTTGGGGGGAGGGCAGGGCACACACAATAGCGAGTTGAACTGGACGGCACACGAAACAGCAAACAATTTGTTCTATATGGTTTAGAGACTACAAACTTTTGATTTCTGCTCGGGGGTTAGCGCAACATTTCGTGTACAATTTTGATTGAATTTACCTTCATAGATCGTACCCAGACGCTTGATTTGTTTATTTATTTTTAAACGACATGTGGCTAACAAAGGTGTAACTCTCTCTCTCTTTCATTCTCTTTCTCAGTGTCCACTCAATGGTGTCTAATTTTTGTAGGCGTGGCACATCATAAGAGCAGACTGGCAGGCGGCAGGATTAGCATTAGGTTTCGGTTTCGATAATGGGCTGAACTGATCGGTGTTAGGATCAGCCAAAGAATCTAAGGTTTTTTTTTTTTGTTTAGGGATAAAACTGTTTTGTATGGGTTTCATTGGTCAGGTGTTGGTTTCGGGAATTCGCTTGATGGCCTTAGTATAGAAAATAGTTGCGACGTCGCCTACAGTTTTTGTTGTCGTTGCAGTAGTAGTAGTTGTTGTTGTTGTTGATGATTAAATGTAAAATAGAGAAATAGTTTTTGTGATCAAAGTTAAGGACTAAGGACAACTAAGAGATAACGCACGACTCTTTGCTGGCGGGCAGTCCATAGCTGGACATGTTCGACGATGAGGCGGGACTGCGTCGCCTAAATAGATCGCTGAGATGTGAGCTGCTTGACGCGGTTGTTGTATACGGCAAATAACTGGATGTGGCCATTGTGCTGGCCGAGTAGGGTCTCCTGCTCAGATAATCGCTGCTACTGTTGTTGCTGAGGTAATCATAGTTGCGAGTATTTCGAATGGAGCTGGTGTTGGCGCTGGGAAAGCGATTAGTTGCTGTATTGGCTGTTGTCAATCCACTTGTGTAGTTGCGTGGTCTATAGCCGGATAGCTCCTCCTCCGGCTCGTAGTTGCTGCGTATTACGTCACGCATATAGGGATTCCTTTCCACGACTCGTTCGTTAACAAAGTCACGCTTTCGATTGTGCAGTCGCTTGCTGCGATCGAGTAGCGCTTTTGTGGTGGCATCCACCGGATCATCATAATTGACATAGTTCAAGGGACGAGGGCTTGCCACCGTAGTCGCTGTCGACCGGCTGTCTGTCGTATCCTGGCTAGAACGTGCCGAGCCAAGCGATTGCAGCGATGCAGATATGGAGTCACCAGTTTTGAGATCACTATATGATTTGGAGCTCTGGCGAGCACTCGCCGACAACGGCTTAAAAGATTGTGGTGATTGCGAACGTGGCTTGTTAATGAATCTCTTGTGATTGCGTCGCTTAGTGCTCATGAGACCAAGCACATCGTCCGCTTCAAGGGAATCGTTGCGCTGTTGTTGTTCAAAACGTGTTCTTCCGTCGGGCCACTGGCGATTTTGGAAGGCAGCCGAGGGCGGAGAATCGGAGCGTGCATATTCCGGCAGCTGTTCCTTTAGCGCCTGCTCTGCTTCCTCCTCATCATCGATCTCAACGACTTCAATGCTGTGCTGATTGGGCCAGGCGCGATCTTTGAAGACCTCCGGAACGGGCTCATCGGCCGCACTAACTTCCGGCACATATTTAGACGGCTCCAGCTTGGGCAGCTGCAATTTCTTGGGCATAGGCACAATCACCGGCTTGTTGTCCTGCAACACTATAAATGCAAACGAGCTGCGACGTGTGGAGTCCGCTGTGGAATCCACTGTCGAGATGCCGTCATCGCCCAGATCCAGTTTCTTAAACATGGGCGGTGATCCATCGCGCTTAATGGACTCCCGACGGCTGCCATTGTTGCTAGCCTGGGTCGCGGCCCTTCGCTGAGTTGGCGTCTGTGGTAGCGTTGGCGGTGGCAGACTACGCTTACCGATGGACGTTCCGCTGGAGTTGCTGCTGCTCTGTTGGGAGTCACGTCGTCGCTGCTCGGCAGCCGCTGCCTCAAAGTTCTCATCGCGCTTGATCAGCGCCTGGCGGCGTTCTCGCTCGAATTCCTTTATAATGCGTTCCTGCGCCGCCGTCGCATTATCCTCCACACTGGGCAGATTATTGAGCAGCTGTATGGAACTGATGGGTGAAACATCAGTAGCAGCAGCTGCTGCAGGAGCAACAGCAGCAGGCAGGCGACGACGCAGCGGCATTGGACTATTAGGCAACTTTTCCATGTCCCATTCCAGGGAACTTTCTTTGCTGGGCGGGATTAACGGCTGTTTGCGACGAGGCATTGGACTATTGGGCAACATCTCCATATTCCACTCCAGGGAGTTATCAGATTTAGATGGTGTTATTAGCTTACGTGGCTCATTGAGACTGTTGTGCGACGAGTTTGTGCTTTTGATTGAACCATTTTGGCTTTCGGGCTTTGGCGGCTCTGCTTGGTCGATTTGTATTTCTGGCACAGGAATTTCATCTCTGGGCTTTGGCTGACTTACACTATTTCCATCCTTAGGCGCCTTCTTCACGGGATCAACCACGTCTTCCGCTGGTTGAAGTCTCGGAAATTTAGGATTTTCTACTACCAGTGTGGATTGAGTTCGCATCTCAACATTCTTTGTGTGCAGTTGCTGCAGCAAATCCTGCACTGAGGGTGGCATATCCTCCGGATCCAATTTAGCCAGCTTTTTCTTTAGGCGCTGTGGTGGAACGGGTATATTTGGCTCACTCGATGATGAGCTGCTCTTTTGTCTTCGCTGCGGCCTGGAGGGAAAGTGGGAGCCATCTACTTCATCCACACCTTGGTTTTCGGTGTGCTTAAACCGATTGGGCTGATTCACCCGGCTCTCCAGGGCCTCATCGCGTTCGAGTGACTCAAGCTTACCCAGGAAATCACGTTCAGCAGAACTGTTAGCCATTAGATCAACCCTAGGGCTAATGCCCACCAAATCATCATTGGAATCAAAATCTACATTGACCAGCATTTTATCGGAAAATTCTCCAAAGAGCTTCTCAATGCTGTGGTCCTCGGAGCTGCCGCGCTTAACCACAGTTATGGGTTGGGCACTAGGACTCTTGCTAATTGTGGTGCATAGTGAATCTGCATCGATGTCATCATCCAAATCAGTGACTTGCACTTGTGACTGGCACTCCATGGCCTCCACCATGCTCTGAAAGACCTCATCGACATGCTCGACATCGCGTTCCAGTTCGATGCTGCTTAATGCTTGGAGCGCCTCCTGATTCAGCTTTTCGGTAAGTGAAATATCCGATTGCCGTCGGGAGAGCACCAGGCTGGACTGGGAGCCACGTCGAGAATTATTAAGCGATTTATCGCAGCCCGTTTTGGGCAGATTCCGAATATCCTCTGCAGCAGGACGTACAGGCGTATCATCTGTTGCTGCATCTAAATTGAGAATCTCATCAAGAATTTCCTCCACGAGTGGACTCTTTGTCTTGGAACGCTCAAGCTCCTTGGCCTCGGTGGCCTTCTCAATTAAATCCAAAATCTCAAAGTCATCTGGCACAGGTGTTGCCGGCTTCGGAGGTATTAACTCAATTTTGGGTTCTATCTTCTTAATTTTGACAGTGGTTTTATTTTGCTTCTGCTGCGCTTGCTTTGCCTGCCGTGCGTTGCTAATTTTGGCCAGCTCCTCGAGTGAGTTATTGGCTTTTGTGGGTTTTGGCGACTTTTTCTTTTTAATGGGAGACTTACGCTTCTCGGGTGATTTACGCGGTGCCAAACCAAAGAACTTGGCCAACTTGGAGTCGTGATATTGCACGGGTAGTTCAATACCGCGAGCAGGTTCAGGTTTTCGCTCCTGCTCTTGCTGCAGCTGCTTTTGTTGTTCATCTTTTTCTGCGTAGAATTTATTGCGTTTCTTTTGCAGAAAATTGGTTGCTTCACTGCGCCATTCATTGCGCAAATAGTCCATGGTGCGCTCCAAATCACTCATCGAGTCAGTGACTGAGGCCAGGGACTCCCTTGATCGATTCAGACTGCTCAAATTGCTTGTGCTGGATTCCATGCGACGCAGCTTAAAGGCGCCCTGCTCATCGCTATTCTGCGAGTGAACCGAGCTCATCGACTCAAAGCGTTTCAAAATATTCTGTACACCGCTCAAACGCTGCTTTGGCTCTAGATCAAACTCACCTTCACCTAGGGATTTGGTTTTCAGGAGTTTCTTGCTCTGACGTCGGGGTAAGCCCAACTCCAGATCGAGACCCGTTTCCTCGAGAATGCGTTCGATTTTATCCGAGAGATCACTGGGAGATTTGTCATCATTAAAAAGCTTTTGATACTCGGAACTGGGCGAACGTGTCTCACCACCATCCGCTAGAATCTCATCGAGTATACGCTCAGCTTCGTCACGTGGCAGCTGCTCCTCCTCCGGTTTTGTTTCGGTTTTCGAAGTCGCTGCTACTGCTGCAGCCGCCGCTGCCTTTTTGGCTTTGGTGCCCTTGGGCACAATTTTCTTAACGATTTTGATTTTCCCCTTTGGCGTAGTTGTAGCCTTAGCTACGGTTGTAGTTGTGACCTTCTTTTCAGCAGGTTTTCCTTGGACAACGAGCTTAACGGGTGCCTTCTTTTTGCTCAAGTCCATGGCGCCGTCTAGCTGATGCTCACGCAGACTGAAAGTGTTAAGAGAGGACTGCCTTTTAGGCGCTAACGGCTTGGACTTGGGCTCCGTCTTGGACTGCGTATCCTTGGTATCCTTAGGATTTTCGACTTTCTCTGGTTGAGGTACAGACGCCTCAGTTTGTGACCTCTTTAATCTATCCGCTACAGTTTCAACGGTGCGTCGTTGTGGCGCCGGGCTGCTTGGAAAATACTTGGCTAAATCGACATCCTTCAGGGTTTTCTGATTCTTATTTGTATTGCCGGCGCTGCTTTTCTCCGGCTTTTGATTGGGAAAGTATTTGGAGAGATCTACGCTTGCTGTGTGCACCGTGGGAGTTACCATTTGCGATTTAATGTGATCCATAGTCCCAGCAAAGGTGCTGGCTCCAATTTCCTTAAGTTTGCTATTCAATTGTGGGTTGGTTTGTGATTCCACATCGTCGTCTATATCCATCTCTTCGTCCTGTTCGCTGCTGTGCTGACGTTGTAGCTTTTTTAAGGTGCCCAGCAGGTTCTCCATATGCGATTTGCGTTGACGCGGGCTAGACTTGGAGCTGGCATTGCTTTTGATGCTGCTGGAGCGGCTTACATTGGCGCTGCTCTTGCTCTCCGGCTTGGGACTCAGTTGCGTTGCTTTCTTAAGACTTTCAGGCTTCACGAGCAACTCCTTGGGTCGCTCTTCAAAGTTGGGTTTGCGCGGCTTCAGCTCATCAAGATTAAAATCAATGACGGGTTTGGGTTTGGGCTCTGCGACAACCGTTTTGGGCGGACTCACAACCTTTTCATATTTCTCATCAAACGTGGATTTGCTGGGTGCTGCAATTGTGGGTGTGGGTGTCACTTTCATTCCCGCAGCTATGGCTGCATTCTCGGCCAGCCACTTCTCTTTGAGCGTTAGCTTGCGTAATATGTCGCTTTTGACTAAATTTTCCTTCGCCAGCACTTCCAGATCCTTATTCATTTTGACCATATTATTCAGATGATATAACTTTTCGCTAATTGCTTCGATTTCGCTGCTAAATTTTCGTGGTTCATTTCGTTCCAGCTGCTCTATTTGAGCACGCGTGGGAGTTGCGGTGGGCGTGGTCGGCTGACTCTTGGCCGACTCAAAAGAATTGGCCGACTTAAGCGAGCTGCGTTCCACATTTTCTTTATTCTCAATATTTAAGTTGAGCTTCTAATTATATTAAGGATTTAAATATGAAACCAACACCATGACAAGGACAAAGTTTTAAGTGGATTGTACGTATAGATGATACCATCAGAGTATACAACAAATTAAATACAAAATAATGATAATAACATTAGTTTCCCATTAGTTGAGTGATTGCAATTTAAAGAGACTCACCTCCGTTTCGGTGTCTGTGGGTAAATTAACGGGCAACGGCTGCAGACGCACTTCCTCGCGTCGCAGTTCACGCGCCTTCTTAAACTCCTCGCCCTCCGTGTCGTCCTTGCCATCATCTGATGTGAATTTATTTATATAATTGACATATTCAAATAATTTGTTTCTAACGAACTCACCGGCAATACCCTCGCTGGAATCGTAGAAATCATCGGAATCATCGCTATCCTCACAATATTGTTTGCCAATCCAATCGGATGCCAACTGCAGGGTTTGCGCACCAAATGGCGAATCGTCCGCCTCCTCGAACATCTCCGAATCGGACTCCGTGTCCGACTCGTCCGAGCTGGACAGCTCCGACTGCGAGTCATTGTTCGATTCAGGCAGAAAATTTCGACCAGACCACTCGTTCTCATCAATGACATTCGCCTCATCGTCGGACATGTTGTCGGCGGAGGCAGCAGCTCTCGAAGTTTCCAACAAATCCACTTGATCCCGGGTGGGCGTGGTGTCCATGGCTTCAACAGCGGTCTCAGCGGTTGGAGTTGGCGCCGCTTGCGGTGTGGCAGGTGAGGCAGGCGTGGCAGGCTGTGCTGCGGCGGATCTCTGTGGCGTGAGCAAAACAAAGTGTGAGTAAAAGTGAAAGAGTGGAAAAGAAGGCAATTCCTTTTAAACCTTGCTTACCCTCTTATTGATGCGTTGCGGCATTGGCTTGGGAGGCAGCCGAAAGTGTTGGGTGCAATAGAAGCGACCCTGTGGATCGTCACGATCGAAGGCATAACCGCCTAGGCGTAGATTCGTGTGGCAGTGATGACATTTAAGGCAATTGCGATGCAGCACCAGACCCTCCACCGTCGTCTTCTCCATCAGATATACCGTTTGCTTGCAGAAGCGGCACTTCTCGGAGGCGGCCTGCTTCTTGAAAGCCAGCGCTACCTTCGAGCTCTATTTGGGTGATTTGATTAAGTCGATTAGAGATATGCTACTATTAAGTTTGTGCTTTTAATATAAAAGAACGCAGTAGTCGGATGTAACCGACTGCATAATACTCTGATAATAGTGCAATAATAGCTGACAAAAAAGACGGTAAGTAACCCTCTTGCGGGAGTGGGTTTTTGTGAGACTTTAAGGAAGGTTATTACTAAGATCTCCTTAAGATTTTGAGAATTATAATGAATAATTAAATGACGTTATCAGTAATCTTTCGGATATTGTGACTTCTTGGTAAAAGCTTAAGGTATTTGGAAGTTGTATTGATTCACCAGCTCGCTATGATTTGATATTCCACTTTAATTATCAGAGTATAAAAAATAGTTAACAGTTAAGTTTTGCGTATGTGCATTTAAAATACGGATGAGTGTTAAATGTACATGTGGATGCGACTTGTGATTGTGGATGTGAGAACGGCCTAAGATATATACTATATATATATAGAAGCACGCTAACAACAACAAAGAGCAACAGCAAGAGAGCAACAACAATAATCAAACGCGGGGCACCTTAGACCAATAAGGACGCAGACTAAGGGCTAAGTTAACACATAAGCTGTAAAGCAACTAAATATACAGGATAAACATAGGGATTTAAGAAAGGAAAAAAAAACCCAGAAACGGAAATGATAAATAATCTGGTGTTTGGAATACACCCAAAACTACTTACAGATTTTGGTATGACAGTGTTGGTTGTGGTTGTGGTGTTGGTGGTTGCATTGCTGCTCGCGTTCTTCTCATCTGAATTCGTTTCGTCCTTTTTGACAAACTGACCGGCGATGGAGGCGACCTTATTGCGTCCTCTCTCACCCACATCCAGATTGTGACCCTCTTTGAGCTGTTTATCCAGATTCTTAAGTGTCGTATCGATCTCCTTAAACTTTTCCGCCTCACGCGAATCCTGTCGCTGTGGCTTGGACATTTTGTGCTGACGTGCTTGGAACTGCTCCTTGCTCCACTTGGGCACCTTTTCGCGACCCTTGGGCCCATGGATTTCCGTCTTCTTGGACAACTCGATCTTCTTCTCGATCTCGCGCACATTCCAATCGTTCGAATCGATCTTGCCAATGGCACGCATCAAATCTTTGGGTTTCTTATCACTGCCCTGTCCGGGTCGTCCCGTCATCCTTTGCTCCATATTTTTGATGCGATCACTGAACTGCTGATCTGCCTCACGCGGCAGTGCTGAGGGTATATCGCCACGTTCGCGATCCTGTTTGGGGGGAGGTTTGGGGTTGTGTTTTGTGGTTTCGGCGATGCAGCGCAATTGTTGTCAAGTGTTTGATTTGATTGGTGTAGGTGTCAGATTTCATTAATTGTAGGGCGGGCATTGAAAAGATTCAAAGTTGAGGGCGGGATTGGTGAAGAAATCAAAATTTGTATAAATTTAAATATATATCGTCGTCGGTGGATTAACATAAATAATAAAACCAAAACACACAACAACAAAAAAAAAGTAGTTAACAACAATTAAATATATAACTAAGATTTTCAGTCTAGTTAGATGAACGAAACATAGCGGCAGCATCAGCAAAAGAAACTAGCCAAAATTTCAGAACTTATAATGGTCGCTTGGAAATCAGAACTTTTACACATTTGAATTGTACAGAAATTTGAATTGATATTTTCTAATTCCTTCCAATGCATTCATTGATAATAACATTCTTATGGTCCACTGAGCATACTATGAATTCTAGTCAATACAGTTATTGGCTTATTACTTTCAGATTTTATCACTTTTTAGATATTAAAAACAAGGGTCTAATTATCAAGCGACCACTGGTATGTATTAATTAACAAGTTTTTAGTAAAGCAACATCAATTTATAGCTTTTATTATATTTTAGAGCTTAGCAAAATATATGCGTTTACCAAAAGTTTCTATAAGAAAATTTCCGTTTTGGAGTTATTGAACGCGAAATCAGTTGACTTTTTAAGTTATAAGGACACACAAGTTTTGAATTACGGCTTCGCATAACATGCTGTAAATAACACTTCAGCTTTATTATTATTTTTTAGTCAGCCAATGCAATAAGTTTTTTTTTAGGAGCCTGCAGTAGATCAGTTAGTTAAGGAACGAAGACTGGCCAAAGTGAACCAGACAGGACAACAAAACATGAGGAGAGCAGAGAGCAGAGAGCAGTGAGCAGCGTGCAGCCAACATTGAGAAAACAGGGCAGGCAGGCAATCGAAGGACTCGCATCCAGCATTGCTTACGGGAAAGAGAAGCTTGCGCTCGAGCTCCTTGACACGATCGTTGAAGACGGGCGCCTGTTGGCGATATAGAAATATCGAATAGTCCTCAAAGGGTGTGCCGTCCTCGGCCACGCCCTCAGTAACCCCATCGCCACCCTCTCTTAGTAATTTGCCCGCCTGCAGAAGCTGCAGACTCTTGTAGAAATTCTGCGTCTGATGGAAACGCTGTTGGCGTCGACGACTCATCCTATCCAAACGATTCTCCTCGATCTCTTGCAAACGCTGCTGGCGCTCCTCCTGCACAGCAGCAGAATGGAGAGTCAAGATTTGTACACAGGACACAAGATTCATGTGTGTTTTTGTTTGCGGTTGGAGGAGTATGTAAATATAGTATGCGTGTGTGTTTTTGAATGAGACATAAAACGTTGACTAATCTAAATGAATTACATGACTAACGACTAGGTTTTAGGATCTGGTTAGGATCTGGGTTTAGTAGAAAGATATGACACAAGTTACATTTACATATGGTAATTGGATTTTTTTTTTTTAGCACGGACTTTGGACACTGAGCGAACTGACCTCGTTGATGGATTCGTATGCGCTTATGACGTTACTGATTTCATGAAAGAGAGCTGTTTTCAGTATGAGTTTAACCTTTTTTTATGGAATTTCGTTGTTTTTTTTTTCGTATGACAAGCGATCAACAAGAAATTACAATTAATATTTAATGAATGTATGAAAGAGAGAGAAAGAGAAGAGTAGTTGTTGGCACAGTTGAAAAGTGATGGCCTCTTCTCCTACACATAACAAAATGAGATTACTAACTTATAGAACTATATATATAGATATGTACAAGAACAAATTTTGACTGTCGCCATCACTTTTCAAGCTACTTTTAATGCGCGAGTGAACCATTCCATGATATAGTCGAAACATTTACTCACAATGTTCGCCGTTTTATCAGCCTGGCGGCGTTTCTTCGACCGACGCGGCGTATCACTTTGAGCTGAAATAGAGAGAAAGTCGAAGAGTTAGGTTTATTAAGATAGAAGCGTGTTAGGAGGTGTAATGAGTTATCCAGCTGTTAGTCAAAATATGTGAAAAAAGAACCTATTTAATGATCTATATTATAGCTTTACAATCGGACAGAAAATACCTTTGAATATTATGACACTTTATAATAATGATTTTATAATCCTAGTTTTATAAATTCAACAATTTCTTGTTTGAAGATAAACAAAACTCTGATTCAATAGTTCTAACAACGGTTCCAATTTTGTGAAAAATAACATTTCTAGATTTTTTAAATTCAAAACTTGATTATATATTATTTCATTCTGCTAGATATAGGATGTAAGAGAATTCAAATTGGATTTAATATCGCACTGATATCTAAAGACTTCAGACGGTCTACTATATGCTCTCTTTAACAAATGGAACGACTTAAATGTCATGCTTGACAAGTTGTACTCAAATAGATAAATCAGACTAAAATACCAAGTAAAGCAAAGAGAGAGCCAATTGTTGTCAATATCCAAACTAAGGAACTACATTATGATGAAATCTATTTACAGATGCGGACTAGACTTTATGCAACATGCTTTCTGGTTTTTAATATGTCTTAACACATTTCATTTTATATATCGGTAGGACAATTTAGAGCTTTCGCATATTTCATGATGCACTTGACTTTTTTGCTTTTTGCTGTGTTATAGTTATCTTCAACACACCCTGTTGCACGTTGTTGCTGCTTGCCGCACCGCTGGCAGCAGCGGCGGTTGCGGAATTAGCTGCCAGATTGCCGCCGCCGCTGTTCAACAGCTGCTCGTGGCGACGCTGGCGCTTGGCGCGCTCCTCCTCGAGGACAGAGCGTCGTTGGACCGTTGTGGGCACATCGACGGCATCCTGCATGGGCGACTTGGCCTTTGGCTTGGTCTGCAGCAGCTTGGAGAAATCCGGCGGAGCGTGTGTATGATTGATGCGATACTTTTGACGCAGATCACTGAAGTCCATCTTGGGATGCTTGATGTGCGGTATCTCGCCGCGAAATTGCTCACAGATTTGGTCCATATAATTGAGCCATACACGCGACTCAACTTCATTTAGATCCATCGATTGCTTGGCGGTCATGATCCGATCAATGTGCAATTCGCGCTCTAGCACGGCAAATGCGAGCTCATTGCACTCCAACGGACTCATGTCCTTGGTGGCAGCATAATCAATTAGATCAGGTCGATAACTGTCAATAAATAAGGAATAAGGAATATGATACAGTTTTTTTTAAGTTTTTAAGTGGCACCACTTACCGACTGATGAGCGCACACAGGACACGACCATTGCGGAACACATCCGAGGGTTCTTTGAGTTCAGCGGCAAAATGATGCGTTGCAAGCTGTACGCTGATCCAGCGCAGCAATGAGGCAGCTTGCGGCAAAGAATCTGTGAAATAAAAGCATATTGATTAATATAACCTGCTATGTGAAATTTGATCTTTCACAACTCACCTCCGCTGCGTCGCTTGCGTTTGCCCGGTGTCTGCACATTGGGTAATAGGTTCAGTGCATGCGAATCCATAAAGGTCTGCTCGAGAATCGATGGATCATCTGTGTCAATTAGATGCTTCACCTGCCAACTGTTCACCGATTCGCGATTAAGGTTTGGATAACGTGTGGCCGGATCCACCGTATAGGCGCTAATATCACGTTGCAGGGTATCGGGTGTGGTCTGATTTAGCAGGCGATAGATGCTCTCACGCTGCGCCAATACGCCAAGTGTGCTGTTCTGCGGATTTGACCACAGCTTGATGGCATAGGCAGCATCCATGCTGGAGAGGAAACCACGAGCGCAACCCGAACCCGTTGGCCAGAACGGTTCGAGCAGACTGTCGCCGACAAGGCACTGCATCAGACGGCAACCCTTGCGCACCAGGACGCGGCAGGACATCTCGGCGGCAAACATGGAGGTAAAATCGAACATGGCCACATCCGGTTTGCCATAATGATTGACAGCAAACTCCAAATTAGGCATTTGATACTGTGTGGAGAATTCTGCCGCTTCGCGTGCATAATCATGCAGCTTCTGTGTATCCACATTGGCGGCAGCGAGCAGCTCAGCGGGATCAGCCATATCCTCAATGATCACACCCTTATCGATCAGACTATGCTTCTTGGCTGTCATCACAAAATAATGCGTCTCATCCTTGTAGTAGACAATATTCTCGAGATCAATGCCCGTGCGACTGTAGAGCTCTTTGAAGAAGGCCTGATTGAAAATGAAGGCAACACCGCTAATCTCCTCCACTTTGGCCTCCGCCTCGGTTTTCTTATTGATAAAATTCGCTGTGATGGCAATGGCCAGTTTGCCACGAAACTCCTTGCGTCGAAAGTCCAGCATATTTCGCTTGCCATCGGCGCCAATTAGGACATCGAATTCATAGTGTGACACGGGATGATCCGCTGGAGTAACGGCAGCATGCCAACCACTATGATCCTCACTGGGCTCCAGTGCATGCTCAAAGCTAACACCCTCATGGATCTCAACGCCTAGCAGGAGGGCGACCTTCAGCAGCATGCATTGCAGCTGCCTGATCGAGATGTGATCGATAGCACCAGCACAGAACTTGCCATAGAACTTCTTGGCACCCAAATTACGCAGATCTGTGATGACGAATGGCCACAAGTGGAGCACATTATTTCTCGTAATCCGATCACGTTTCTCCAGCACCACCACTTTGGCACCAAGCAGTTGAGCCTCAATTGCCGTCCGCAATCCACAAGGACCGGCGCCAATCACCAGGACTCTGGTGCCGGTGCAAGCGTTCCCCTTCCCATACACACGATGGGCGGCACGTGCATCGAACTTCTTCCACAACGCCTGTGCCTTCCACGAGCGTACCTTGGCTTTGAGCTTAGGGTAGAACTCATTAAGCGGGGATGGACGCAAACCAACCGCCTCGCACATGGCTCGATGCAGTGCCAAAATCTGTCGCATCGTTGTCGCCACACAGAGCAGATTGAAGAGCTCGGCGGCTTCGGCGGCAGCGGCATGTTCGGCCATTAGCAGCGCCTGCTGTTGTTGCTGTTGGGCCGTCAGCAGCTGTTGTTGCTGCTGCTGTTGTTGTTGCAGTTGTTGCTGCTGCAGCTGCTGCTGATGGTGCCGCTGATGTTGGCGGCTCATGCTGCAAAGAGATAGAGAAGTGGTTGTATAAGAATAGATGTTTTTACCAATTGGCATTTCGAATATATTTAGCCTGATTACCATATATAAGCCTATATAGTTATTTCTTATATGAATTTGTATACATTCAGAGAAAAGCAGAGAATTTATTACGAATTTATCAGAACATTAAATTGATTGTTATTTTTAAGCCCACTTTCAGGTGACATGTTACATTTGCATTCGGCTAATTGGAATGCTTGATGTATAACCTAATATAGTATTTTCTTTTAATTATTTATTTATCGCATTTAATTTGAATTCCGTTGAACAAGTTCCGTTGCATTAAATCCACACCTCAGCTGTCAGTTTTCTTCTGTTTTTGTTTTGATGTCACATTTAATTATTGAAAAGAAAATAAATTATGTTTACAGTCGCCTTCTCAAGTCAACGACCCAAGTTCGCACGAGTTCAGGAACTTGAAATTGAACAGAGAGTGAGAGTGATTTTGCTTCAATATTTCCTTTGTTATACCATATTCCACTTTTAATACAAGGAAACAACATCACGCGTTCAAAACTGATATCTGTCAAGTCTCTATGCTGGAATAAGTTTAAAAAATCATACAACTTTTGGAACTAATTTTCCAGTCATGCTTTAAACTAGAACAAGGAGTCAATTTACTCTTTCCTGACCACTCTCAAAGCTCTAAGCATTGGGGAGATTTCTTTGTCGCAGCTACTGTGGTTGACAACAAAAACAGAAAGTTGCTTCCTCATAAAATGAGAGACAACAATCTGGGCTGAGCAAGATATGAACGTCAATTAATTAAATTAAAAGCAAATATAAATCACAAATTAAAGAAGCGCATAAAGTGACGATTACTCATGCATATAAGCTTTTGTGTGTGCATTGTGCATTGTGGATTGGAATTAAATGGAATGGGATCGAATTGGATCGCCACAACAAAGGAGTAAAGGGAAAACTACGATGCTGACAACGATGACAACAAGCTAAACGCAAAAGGGAAATGAGCCAATGAAAAGCTAAAAAAGACTTGAACCTTTAGTGTGGGCGTTGCTAGACAGGCAACAACCTGACAATGGGTCCAAGGAACATCAAGCTGAGTTCCGACAACATACACATCCACATACACAAACATGAATAAATATATATATATATATATATATATATATATATATATATATATAGAACAGTCAGTGGCTTATGAAAATGAACTTCAAAGCAAAGTTGGAAGTTTGAAATAAAAATGAAAAGTAAACCACGAGACGGGCACAAAACTTAACTTGGCCTTTGTTTGCAAGGAATGCGGCATCCCAGAGAATGCTGAAATTCCCAAAAGCAGGCAGCGCACAAATGCAAAGCTATAAAATAAAAGTGCTCTACAAACACTGCTCGCCTAGGGAATACCCTGTTGTCAACAAAACACACATTGCAAGCCATGGAAAATTGTTTACTAAGCATATTCTCTGTTTAGTCTCTGATCATTTAAATATGTTCATTTAAGCAACATTTAAATGGTGATATTTTATAAACTGTGAGAACTATAATCGAAGTTAAGTTGTAAATGATCGATCATCTATTGATTGTAGTCCCTTTATCGTTCTGGTATTTTGGCTAACATTGATTATTATTTAAAATGTAGCCTTTTTTAAATATTTTTTTTATGTAGTTGTATTTTCTGTAATATCTCATATACCCATTTTCAAACTTTGTTAATGGGTATACACTCACGAAAACAAAGGACAAGTTGCCGCAAGCGAACAGCCATCGGTGCTAGCTGGTAGCTAACTGGTTGCTTAGCCATGTTACACGGACACCATTCATTGCCCCATTTTGTGTGAATGTGAATGAGGTGGAAAATAATCGCATTGTTAACTACTTAGGGTATATATGGGACTGCCATTGGTGAGTTTATTGCACTGCACTGCAAGTTCACTGCGAGCACTTGTTTGTGGTTTTACTCGAATTTTACAGTTAAAAACAGAGATATCTCTGGCGAAGCACAATCAACAAATCAAATATGCGGCAATGTCAAAGAGAGTTAGTACAAATGTTAGTAGGTGTCAACAGCTGCATCTCCCGGCGGCGTTGGCTCAAAGAGCTCCCCGGATATGGGACGACGCGGTAGCAGCATTGGCATCATAGCCTGTGATCCATCATCCAATAGCTCCAATTTGAGCATTAGCTTAGATGGTTGCGGCAAATCATCAGCGTCCTGGCAGTCCAGTGATAGCATTTCATTCACATACTGGTCAATATCTTGGCGCAAGTGTTCAATGGTTGTCGCATTGATTGAGTAATGATAATTGCGACATTTGAAGAATCCATGATGCACACCAGCTGCGAGCACATCTTCAACAACGCGACGAATGCGATCACCTTCCACCTTATAGATGTTGGCAATGCGTTGAGATACCTCCTTCAGACTGGCTGGGCGACCCAACACTTGCAACACCTCAATTACTAACGCACCAGTTTTTTTACCCAAGTCCGATGGATGCATTGCGAGTGAGAGTTTGGATTTTTTTTTACGTTAGCTAATTAAATGTTTACAAGAAATTTATGCTTTCCGCTGGGCAACCGTTAAAAAATTGATACTCGAAATATATTTTAAATAAAATTATTTGTTTTTTTGTCGCTAGCTTTAAAGTGTATAACAAACTGAATAATAAAAGCAAATGACATTCTGAAATGTTTGACTGAAAAACAAAAGCAAGCGTATACAAGAAATTTGAGAGTGAAACGAATTCTTTCGTTTTCTCTCAATTGGTTCGACTTTTGTGATCAGTTGTATATACAAAGGTACATGTTAATCACATATATATATATATATATATATATATATATATATATATATATATATATGACGCAATGCGCTGAAGAAAACACGAATATATCGTATATTTAATTTTTTACTGTGTACGAAAGAATAGCTAAATGATTAATGCGTTAAATGAAAGGCAAGTGCACAATGGCTTAAGGATAAACAGGAAATTCCATTCTCCACCAAAAACTTAATCGTTTAACTGAACACAAAAGGGAATATCTATTCAAATTCCTATTTCATTCCGATTTCCGCTCAGCTGACAGTAGAATGTCTCTCAACTGTTTTTCAATAATAAGTTTAACCCTTACACAGACAAATTGTGTTCAAGATATCCTTGCCTAACTGTCTCCCTTATAATTTATAATTTCTGTCGTCTCATCGTCTATTAAAGCTGCACATTGGGGGTGAAAAATACGGAAATTCGATTGGCGCCATGAAAACCATAAAAAAACGCACGCACAATGCTCGAGCTTGAGTCAGAGCTCGTCAAGGAAAAACAAGCAAAACAAAAACAAGTGAATGGCCAGACAGCCGTATACCCTGTAGCTAATATATTTTAATATGACATTGTAGTTTATATAAATCGCTTGTGTGACGTGTTTTCTAAGATACTTAGCACATACTGTATATAAAGAATAAAAGTTTTAGTTGAAAATTAATTAATAAATGATAAACAAATTGAGAATCTTTGAATAAACTGTATATTAAAGATATAAAATTTGACAATGTCTGTAACTTGATATTGGAAGTCCCTTTACTTTATAAGAATTAAATATATATAATAATTAAATATGTACAACAAAAATTTTATTGAGTAACACAACTAAAGTTTGGGCGGTGAAAACTTGTAGATTTCATTTTCAGAGCACACCAAATGAGTTTTAAAATAACATATAAGAATGTGTATTTGGAAATAGGATTCTTGCGAAAAACACGTATTCATTTTTATGCATACATTATTATGTGCACTGCTTATAAGTTTCTTAAGCTTTTAACTTTTATTGTTTGACCTTTAAAAGAGGCGAAGTTGAAAAAGCTGACTTGAGAGTGTGATTAAGTGTTTGTCAGACTCAAGATACCCTCTTAGCCCTACATATATATTATATACTATATATATTAACCACTTGCAGGGTTGGGGTTTGGCGGCGTTCTGACGCGCTTGTTGTTTTTCTCCCCTCACTGGTGATCCCATCCTCTTTATTTGCTGGCTCTCTCACTCTCTCTGGTTTGCCACAAATTGTTTGTTGAGCTTGCCCCAATAAAGGCGGCATGTGACACATTCGGCCAGCAACAGAGAATATTATGTCACTAGGGAGCTCATTGAGCTGGCCCAACATACACAACTCAACATGGCTAACATGACGAAAATTGAAATTAAAGTCACAAGTAACTGGAAGGTTAAATGCTTATCGATTTTGAGCACATCTGTTTAGAGCCGAGGCGGCGTAATGTTTTGTTTGTTGGGGCAGGAAGAATGAGGCATTGACGGTCGCCAAGGCAAATAAATCCTACTTAGTAATAAAAGGGATGCTCGTTTTGTTATTTGCATTGTTGTTCGGATGACTCATCTATTGCAGAAAATTCCAAAAAAAATTTGAGGGTTGTATTTTATCTGTTTCGGACGTCACACAACGAACACAATCCAATGATAGATAGACAGGTTTGCAGATGTGAAGTGTTGCACATGGCTGCCGGACAAGATCAAGGTTTTATAAATTACACGAACCATTTCTCTAGAGAGTACACTCAGCAAAAGCTTTGCTATTTTTGTTTTTAATAATTTAAGTATTAAAATGTACGTATTGGGGCAACTTGAATGAACAGAGATATAAATTCTAATTGCAAGGTTTTTTTTTGCATACTCAGCACATAAAATTTGAAGTAGAAAACGTTATTAATTCCAATTATCTTCCACTTGAATTTTCAAACATCGTTATTCTCCGAGTGTAGCAGAGCAAATGATTAATACAATACCACGCGAAATCAATTTGGCCAATTGCCAACAAATTTCATAATTATTAATATCCAAAAATATTTTGTTTGCAACATTCATAATTTGTGCTCGAAAATTCGCTGCTGTTCGTGTTTGTCCCGATTACCTGTACGAATATTCGATGTTTTTTTTTATTTTTTATTTCACGTCTGTGTCGTTGACAATTGTCAAATGTTTTTCTGTCACCGGCACACAAAACTTTTCACAATTTATTTTCACAATATTTGTTGTCGTTAAAGTTGCGCCTTCAAAAGGCGTCTGATTATAAATGAAACATCTCCGATGAATACGATCATTTTTTATGCAATTTTTGAATAATGAAAGAGCGCATTCATATATTGATACAGAAATAAAGACACTCTACTTCCTAGAGGCAGGTGAACAAAAGCACAAAGTGAAATAATGGCGTAGAAGGCAAACAAAATATTGTGAACTCTAATTATAGGTATATAGATATTGTATCTACGAGACAAAAAAACAACGCGTAATACAAATGTTTCCATAATCAACACACAAAAAACGCACAACCAACTGATAATGTGATTTATGAACAGGCGGCAAGCGGGCAGGCAGGCAGGGCCAGACCGATAAGAAAGTGAAGTGAAGGAACAGAGTACCGTAGTTCCAGACACTTTCTAACATTGTCCAATGTATATATAGATATGCGTATGGCAGATCGGCTCTTCATTTGGACATGTGAGTCACGTAATTAACATATATTTCTTTGGCTTCATTTGCAAGTGAGATCCAGCGATAGAAATATGCGAGAAATACGTGAAAAGTTTGTTAAAGTCCCTCAACCAAATGGGAACACATGGGAAAAAGGGTGTGTAGCAACTGAATCTGAAATGAGGGGGCATATTACTAATTAAATGCTATCAATACATATCTATTGATAAGATTAACTTGTTTCAAAGTGAGAAAATTGTGTAATGCTATTGCAAAGCGGCGCCGAGAATATTGGATTCTTTATTGGGAAATTAGGAAAACAATTGAATTTATTTTAGATTTATTAAATAACATGATTTATTCATTACCCTTGCTTAACTGGAACAGAGAATATTGACTATCATAACTTCACATTGATATATAGATTATATCTACATATAAACCCTTGATTATCAGAATGCTTATTCAAATAGTTTTTTTTTACATACAAAAACTCGCAAAATCATTTTGCAGATGTTATTTGCTTGTTGAATTTGGCCGGATCCGAAAGATTCTTCGTAGCGAAACGATTTTAAAATCCCCGAGAGACGGGTAATTCGTAAAGCAAACATACAAATCTTGTAGGGCCTAACACAGAAAATGCTTGATTGATTTGTTCGCATGCTGCACGAATATTTGTTTGCGCCAAATGTTTTCTAATTTTGGCAGCCAATTGCGCCAATTGGACGGCAAACTCGCCGCAAAAATGTTCAAAGTGCAACAAATTGATTTATGACAAGCAAAACAACAGCAAAAATAAGCAGCAAAACAAAAACAAAAACTGACCAGTTTCGGGGCACAATGCGGAAATGCCGCAGTAGCTATGCGGGTATATCAGTAAACATATATGTATACTATACGAATACCGACATGTATATATATATGTATATATAGACAAAACATATTGTCGTGACAGTATTTTTCAGTATGGATTAAAATAATTTGTGTGATGCACAAGATGACAAGCAAAAATTGAGGGAAAAGAAATTTTAATGTAAACAAATTTTGATTAGTTGAAACTCGTCGCCTATTTTGGTAGAGAGCCAAAATAATTACCCATTGTTATAAATTTCTTGACAAATCTAATTTGACGGCGACAGACATTTACAAATAAATCAGATATGATTATGAAATATAAATCAAATCAAAGCGTTATATGCCTTAAATGTTATTTATTTGTTTATGCGAAAACAAAAGGCACAATTCGCATACAATTTGAACGTTTTGTAAAGTTTGCACGCAAAGTTTTAGCACGCCGAACTTATAGTCAAAATAAAGTAAACTTAAATGCAAAAGCATGTTGTTAAATTGTAATTTGAGGCAACATTGAAACAACAATATGCTTAAAACGTTTCATTTGCAGAATCGCTATTAATAGATGCTAAGAGGAAAATTGGGTCAGCAAACGATGCGGTGGCCACATAACAAATATATAAAAGCTCACAGTCAAACATTTGGCAGCCAGACTATAAAACTAGCAATAAGTGATATCTTATGAAGATTGAATACCCTTGCAGATATGGCAACGATCACTTAAACTAACAAGATGCTGTGCTAACTAAAGAATAAGACGATGTTAATAAAAAATGTAAGTCCCCAGCGGAAGAAAATTCCATACATGACTTTATACAGCTGTTGTCTGAAACTTCGGAAAATAGGGGAAGGAATGTTGGGAATGGGCCAAACTGACATTCTCTTCATATTGGCTTCAAACGCATACTCAAAGTTTCTCGAATTAACTACCAATTTGTAAGAAATATATATTTATAAAAATGGGCATAAACAGAGAAAGAATATTTGTGAAACGCCACGTTCACATTCCTTTTTTTTTTATATATATTTATATATACATACAATATTAAATGACATTTTAATTGATTTTCAGTGTGTTGAGGACATACAGAGAAATCGAATTAAATGCAAAATCAATTTACTGTGTTGATAACTGGCCACAAAATGACATCAGAAACGCTGCTCAACCCTTTCCGCACTCAGCATCCCTGTTTTCCACAGAGACTGACTATCATAGGATTTCCATGTATTAAATGTCCTTACGAAATTGCTGACATCATTTGCACAGCAGTCGAATGCTGTCATGCTGTGAAAGTTACTCTACACAAAAGTTTCACGTTCCGATTTCCGGCTAAGGGATACGCTCTATTATTATGTGCACCTACATTTAAATACAATTTATGCTCCGCCTGCACAACATGCTTGCACAGAGAGAAAAATGTAGGTATTTAAATTAAATTGCACTGACTTCGCACACAGTATTTGCAATTTAAGAAAATCCAAGTTAATATTAGAGCGAATTTTCCAAAGTGAGCTCAAAACAAGTCAGAAAAGCTATCTTAAACAAGCAGAAGATTACATACACTTTCAAACAGGGGTTAAGCTGTCAACATCTAAATTTCACAATATATCTAAAAAAGACAATTGTGCCTATGAAAAAAAAACTATTTGATATAGTGGTCTGATATCGAAGTATTAAGTCCAAATGTAGTATTTTCAATTGAGAAACTTTATTTGTTCTCCCAGTGTATGAGCGCTGAGCAGTTGTTGGGGGCGCAACCGGCTCTGTTCCATTTACAATTCGGATTCGGGTCATACAAAGTTGATTATTGTTGTTGTTGTTGCTGACTTGCAAATTTAATAACAATTTGCATAAATTTACAGACTAATGCTGCAAAATGGTCTTGCATATGGAATATCTGTTGTGTGTGGGCCATAAATCGATGCTCCGAGCTCTACTTACTTCACTCAGTCTCTCTCAGTCGAAGGCGTTAGCTTGTAGATCTGTCATAAGTACATGCAGCATTAACTGTAAGAAATGAGAAAATGTAAACATAAATTAGTTAATGTTTAATTATGGTATGCAAAACCAACAAATGTATGGCATATTTCAATGTTAAGGCCAATTAGAGATTTATGTATGTCAAATTAACCAAAATCAGACGTGGCACACAAATAAGCAATCAACTTTTAAAGGTCTTTCCGCTTTCGGTCATTCCAGCTTTATGGAAGTCGCGTGGGTTGATTGACAAAACTCGTATTATCGAGAAACTATGTACAACAATTATGTACACTGAAAAAAAAAAACAAATCATATTTTGAAATTGTCGAAATGAACCAACTTTGTAAGCCGGACATGTTTAAGCGCAAAATTGTTTTGATTCATACTTATTAAGAAAAAAGTTTATATCGTAGTGATAAGCTGTAGATTGCTTCAAGCTAATTTCAAAACATTTATTCTTCGAGTGTGCATAAAATAATTGTTTTTTCATTTGTGTGGGTTTGTTGATTGAGGTGATTTTTTATTTCTGTATTTTGTGTAATAATTGGTAATCGCAATATGCCTCAGCTCGCCATCTTAAACTTTATAGTGCAAATACTCAGTTCGTTACTAGTGAAACTAGATGGTGTGAAAGAGGCATTCACCTGTGCGAGTTTCTTTGAATGATGGCAGTTGGAATTTTACTTCAGGAGAAATAACTTAATACGCATCTTCACCTGTGACAACTTCCCATAAAACGTAATTACCAAATGATTTTATTGTTGCTCAAGTTATTTGTATTGTACAATTCACAGACGCTGTGCATTAAGCATAAAAGCGCACTGTGCATGCAGTGCCAACAAAAAAAAAAAAAAAACTACAACAACAACAAGAATTGCAGCACAAAAAGCTAAACAAAATTTGTTGTACAAGCCGTTGCCGGCACGAAAATGGCATTAAAGTCAGCGATGGATAAGGCTATAAGACTAGACAGCAAGCATTGACAGCAACAACAACAACTGACGTTCAAAAAGGTGCATAATGCAGCAACTTGGCCAAGTTAAAAAACTGAACCTAGGCGCAAAATCACGTGGCCAACATCAGCCAGCCAGACAATGAAAACTACCGTAAGTAACATAAGCAACATTTGTTTCTAGATGATCGACTACTAAATTCTCTAACTACTCTTATAAGGTTTTGATGTCGTTAGAATATACAGTTTACAATAAAACGTTTCGTGTTCATTTCTATCGATCTTGATCAAATTACAGATGATCAATATTATGTCAAGGTATAAACAATTTCGATTCAAAAGTCATATTTCTAAGATTGTGGTTTTTATTGTTATCGGAAATCGATTTGTATCAATACAAGTTATCGACAAATTAAATAACTTTAATCTGTGTATGATAAACAAGAACATTCAAACTCTTAATTCTCTAGCATTCATAGTCTATATAGTCCGAAGAGGAAGACAGATTGATCATGATCAAAAATATACTTTATGTTCATTGCACAACTTCAATTTACCCTTTTTAACAAATCTCAATAGTTTCTGGGTGTAGAAAAGATATGTGCCTAATGGGAAATCAGTCTATTCATAAAGGACTCATAAGTCAGTGCAGTCGTAATTTTTTTTAATAAATAATAATAAACGCAGTGAGTGGAAACAATGGTCAAGATTACTTTCATGTTTTTCTGAAATTGAGGCTTTTCATGGTGTTCAAAAACTACGAGACAGGAAAATAGTTTCCACATCTGTCTTACATCTAGTTATATATCGTTACAAATTGGCTTTAAAAAACATTTGGTCATTTCTTAAGCCAAAATGTGAATGGCTTTTTTTGAAAACCCATATGTCATACAAATGTGAATGGCTTTCTTTTACTAAACCCATATGTTATAAAATATCACGCAAAATACGTTGAGCGAATTTATAGTTATACGTTCCAAAAAATGCTGCAAGCCTATTGATAAAACCATGCGGATCCTTGTGGCACACGATAGCCAATAATAAAAACAATGGAAATAACTATCGCGTTTTGTATTTGTTGTTGTTTTATTTTGCCATTTTTGGCACTTTTTGGCTGCCGTTGCGAGTCAATGAAATTAAATCTTTTACCCCTTTTGTGTAGAAAAACGAGTGTCGATGAATGCATAAAATGGTTAGCCCAATGCAAAAAGAGTCAGTGAGTACACTAAGAAAAACTCAACATATTTTTTTTTAGGGTACATTTATGTATAAATGTACAAAATCAAAATAAAAATTTTAAATGTTCAACTCTTAAGAAATATGTTGAAATCAGAAAGTATTATTGAAAATTATGTATTCAAAAATGCTAAGGATTCACGATTAAGTTACTAATTTTCTATTTTAAAGAAATTTATTTCGTACATTTTTTATGAAAATGTTTAAATATTTTGATGAATGTTTATTTAGTAGTTTTTGGGCAAGCAACATCAACAGCACCAACTCGTTTGCTGCCGCTTACAGTAAACGTCAAGTTGCCAATGTTGGCCAAGTGTGCAATGGCAAGTGTTCAGTTATTTTTATAGCCAACTGCAGCAACAACAAAGCAACTGCAATAATAACAACAACAACAGCAAAGACGACAAGTGCAGGAGGGAGTGAAATATGATTGCAAGTCGCCGCCAGCGTTCAGAGGATGCCTTAAGGAAAACTTGAAACTGGCTTCCATTGTTGGTCGGGACTTTAACGGTCGACGTTGACGTCGGCTGCGGCTGCGGCCTCGTCGCGACGTCAGCGTTAGCTTCGGCGCTTTCACTTGCACCAACGACTTTCCTCTACTAACAAAAAACATGTTTGCTTTGCTCTTTGAGCTTGCTGTTCGTAACTTGTTGCTGTTGTTGTTGTTGATGCTCGCAGCCATAATTCTCGTTCTCGTCGTTGCTATTCTCTTGTTGTTGTCTTATTATTTTTGGCCTAATAAACAGCAACAAATTGAATTCTATGCATTAAACGGGTACTGACCTGAACCACACCCAAGAAAGAAAAAAATCAGCAGCTGAGATAGCAAACATTATTATTGAAGTTGAATATTTATGCAAAAGAATTTGTTTCTTTACGAAAAATATGAGAAAGGGAAATAACTTAATATATGTGTAATAAATTTGAATGGTATGCAAATTTGTAGGTAAATAAATTGATGCTGTCGGATGATGATATAATAATGGGTGTAGAGCTTGACATTTATTTATTTATCTATTGGCGAAAAGGTGCCAACAATCTAAATTAAAATCTTATAGGGTGCTATTTTATGCGCATGTACACTCTAAAAAAATGTCTGTTCTAAATTCCAAACGTTTTGTAAAATAATTTCTTAAAAATTCTTTGGATTAGTATAAATTAATGCTGATTCGAATATCGATAGTGCATTTACATGAAAAAGAACCTATATTCTTGAAATTAAGTATTGATTAAGTATTGCATTGAAAGTAATTCTCAAGAAGTTAAATTCTCACTATCTGACTATCTAGTTCTAGAATTTTATGAACTCAACTTTTTTAATAATAATATCCTACTTACGAACTTCGATATTATAAAAAACATTGGTCAATGATTTTCGTAGTTGTCATGTAGTTGCCATAACATTCTATATTCATTACTATGTGTATATAGAAACACTGAATGAGGCATAGTCAAGTTGGTAGATAATGCTTATCTAATGAACATTTTTCACCTCATATCTATGAATCTTTGACTAATGCATGCATATTACAAGCTTTTACTAGATTTATACGCTAGCTTAGATTTATTCAAGCGCCAGTTGCAAGCCAGTCATATTTTCTACCAGTAGTCATAAAATGGAAAAACAAAAGAAACTGCACAGACACGAACCCAATTTGTACAAACTGTGCATAAGCCGGCACGAATAATTGAGATAAGAGCATCATCAAGCTGTCGTCTTGTTTAATGTTGCCCATTATATTTATGCGGTTAAGAAAGATATTTATATGTTCATTTATATTTGTATCAATGGAATCGCGCTAAAGAGGCACACATTTTGTGTGGAGGCCTCGGTTTTTAACCTCAGGCCTTAGACGTGGGCATGTTGCAGCAAGTGTAACCTTAGACACCATTTTAGATGATACACAAAACCAACGAACGAAGTCAAAACAAAACAAAACCAAGACCATTAATATGCACAAAGTGGAGAGCTTCACTTCCTATGATATAAACGCCGGCAAATTCAAATTTGGTATGTGCGAGAGTTACTTTAAGGGTTTTGAAACTCTTAAGATTACAGATTACTTTATAACTATGCCATAAAATCAATATTAAATCGCAGCGTAATTTCAAAAACCTAAAAGTCACATTCAGTTAGATTTATTTCATAACAGTAAGTACTTATTTTTCATAGTCCATATTTAATATAACACCATAATAATCATTCATACTGTGCACTGTGACCTCGAGGTAATGGCTTTGAATTACATAAGCATAAGCTTAGGAAAGACTATAAGCTAAATGGGTCAAAGATTAAACATGAAATAAATAGAATGAGTTCGCGGCAGGCATAACAAAACGTAAAGATGAAGAAATCGTGAGGAATACTTTTGCGATATGTAATTAATTGAAAAATGTTATGAGGGCTGCAAAATATATAAGCAGAAAAGGTTAAAAAGACAAAAACAGAACACCGAGATTGGGGAGTCAACTTAACCATAAAAGCATGGAGGAATAAAACTCTTGGTGAGATATTATTTAAGCAATTTTTGTGTTGATATTCTGATTCCTGGTCCGGCCCTATTATGTGCGCAAATGCCATGATTTTTCGGGTCTCAGAGCCCCGTAATGAACGAGTCTCAGTAGATGCTTGCTGCAAAATGCTGGTGCCTAGCAGTTTCTTTCTGTCTGGCTGCGAAAGTCGCTTAATATGATTGGCATAGCCTTGCCGAAGAACATAAAATCAGTCAGGAATCACAAAGAGATGGTCAAGCTCTATTGCAGGCTAGGGAGTCAGCAACTTTATTCCGCACTGTCTTGAAACCCAGTAGATCGTCACACTCATGTTTTTTCCTAGTTTATAGAA